AACCTTTTTACATCCTGTACATAATACAAAAAAGTGACAGTGAAAAAGCGACAGAAAATGTGGAATCTCAGCCTCAAGGGGATCAAACAAACAAAACATGTATATTAGTAATACTTATAACCGATTTACGGTTAATTGTTAATTAATTTATTAGATTAAAATTAGTTTCAATCGATCAGCTAATAATCTCTGCTTAAGACTATTGCTGTTGCAGTTTGGTCACCATCCAGCAGAGGGCGCCGCTGGTCATCCATAAACGGAGCTGTCATACGGGATCAAAGATGGCGGTGCTCTGAAACGAAACGGTCCCCACGGAGACAGTTATGGGATGTTATGCGACCCATATTTTTTACATTTAAAACCTCTAAAAGCTTCTCAAGATAATTTAACCGAGCATCAATTTCTCAACCAAAATTCCTGACATGCCAAGATGACGGAGGAAAAACGCAGAAAAGAAAAATAACCTAACATAAAAAGACATTATATTAATAAGAACAGTTCATTTTGAGGGCTGTCTTAGAGCAATAATGTGAAAAAACAACAACACAATTTTCTGTCTATTCAGTTACAACTAACTTTGAGCAACTTGTCACTCCATGATGTGCCTGTTGCATGAAACACAGGAACTCTGGGTATTGCGTACTGATTGTACAAAACTATTATTTTCTTCTTGTTAGAAGACTTTATATATCTACAGACATACAGTAATGGCAAACAGAAAAACAAAAACACAAGCATAACTCTGAGTCATAAATGAGGATCGAAGCTGCATACATATGTGGAATGTATATGAATAATTAAATACTTATGTCATTTGCTTTACAGACTTCCAAACAAAGACATGGATAATAATTACAAAAATATATTTTTATAAAGTAAAAGTAAAATCAGTTATTGTTATGTTTACCTGCCTGAACAAAGCCTTAATATTTTATTGCATTTATTTAGTATCGTTGCTGTGCTATTATCATTTAAATAAAATTCAGAGATTGTGTAAAAATAAACCAAAGCTTTTTGTTTTGTTTTTTTAAATGCCTTCTCAGTTGTCAACAGCAGAGGGAGCCGTGGGTCTTCAACGTCACCAGCGTTGAAAAATGCTTACAAGTGTCTTAGTTATTGGCTGTACAAACAAATCACATTCACTCATGAAAGAAGTGAGATGTAATGTTGCTGCATTATGAAGCAGGTTTCTCTGTTATAGTACGGCTTGGAGTAGTCATTGACTTGTGATGAGAAAGAGAGAGCAAGAAGGCTAGAATGAAGAAGAAAAAAATTATGTTTTACTAAGATTTGAAAAAAAAAGAAGAAAAACTTCACTGCCGGCATGAATGTGTTGACGTGGTTGAAGCCTCTGTTGCTCTTAGGACCAGTCACTGAGCTCCGTCATGCTTTTCTAACACCATTTAGCCCCACTTACAGAACATCTTGGAAATTAATTTGCCATAAACTGTCTAAAGCTTTCTGTTGAAGGTAAACACTGTCGTCAATTACAATGTTACCGTTATTCAGGTAATACGTGTTTGATTTTGAGTTGCCATAAAAAATAAAATAAAAAGACATACTTCTGCTTTAGCTTAGGAGGTAATGGAAAATAAAATGATAATGATAATAATAATTTAAAAAAAGGTTGGCAACAAAAATTGTTGTGAAAAATCAATCCAGGTTTCAATAGAGAAGGTAACTAGAAGGCATTAACTTGTAACAAAATGTTATAAGTTAATACCAGTTTAAAGCCTGTAACAACATGAGCCGAAGAGCCACTCAGAAAGGAAGAAATCATGACTTAAAAAAAGTCATAAAACATCCAGTTGAAGTTGTAAGAAGATGAAAATAATTTGAGGTATTCAAAGTGTAAAATTTCTCCATCTTTTGAAAACCGGAAAAAAACTAAAGAGTTTCTGACAAAATTAGTCTTCTGAAGAGTTCCCTTCACTCCTGACATCGCCCTCCTCCCCTGACGTCGGCTGTGACCTTTTGCCTCCCCTTCGCCGTCGTCTCCTCCAGACAGCATCTTCCATCTTTTCTCCATGCTGGGGCGACCGCGGCGATAAACACCGAACCTCAAACGCCCACAGACGCTGACGGCTGCCAGGCATGTCATATTATCGCTCCCAGAGAACCGGGTGACTCAGACGGAGATCCATACGCGTGTCTCCAGAGAGAGGGAGCTGATCGTAGACTTCCAGTGCCGGCCTCGGAGAACCTTGGTTTTCTTTTTTCACAGTCAGTTCTATTTTTTTTTAGCGATCCCTAAGGTGCGGTGAGGTCTTTGTGGATGAGCGTCTGGAGCAGAGCTGACACAAAGCACAGATTAACTGCAGTGAAATGGGATAACAACTTGACAACCAGCAGCAATTAGGGTCAAACGGAGTTATCAATATGTTAAAAACACACACTGTGTGGCTTTTAAGAAACGGTTTGCAAAGCTCTTAATGAGCTCCAGACTGAAAGGAATGTATGATTTATGAACTTTATGAAAGTTTATTTTGAGATACAGAATTGTTTTTGCACTGGTGTTTTTTTTTGTTGTTGTTGTTACTTTGAGGGAAAAAACCCAAACATATTTCTAATAAGAGATAATCCCTGTAAAGCTCGTCAAATATGTAATCTTAAATATTCTTTTAACAATCTACAAATAGAAGCTTGCTTCTTAAATCTTTACATTTCGATACATAGGTCAAGCCAGGGTCTGAGACATCCAGAACACTGACCCCACCTGGACTGCCTGAATTCTTGAAAACCAGAGATCGTTAAGACAGAGAACAGATGTTATGAAATCTGATTTTCACATCTCGAAACCCGCAGACACATAAACACGCAGCACAAAGACACAAAATGTCATCTGAAACTTTCTGACAAGGTCTGCTCCGGGAACAAAACACTGCCAAGTGTTCCTTCTTCGTGCATACGTTTCAGCGCCGGCGTCTCAGCAAGGACACTTAAATCAGCGTTACCTCAGCACAACAGAAGAACAACTCTATCCTGAAAGCTCTTTGGGAGGATAATTCTCCAACATTTGTTGCAAAACTACTAGAAACTCTCCTCTGACAGGCAGACAACAAAAGAGGTTATTTAGCTGCTGTCTTGGTGCTTTTCTTTTCTTTTTTGTCCCCATCTAAGGAAAGAAGCTGCCATTAATCTCCACTTCTGACATGCTTATTGTTCTGCTACCCCCTCCCATCACTTTTGCAGAAGCACCTATAGACACTCATTTATCAAAACAAAAGTTGTCCTGCAAGGACATCTGTCCTCCCGTCCCCCCACACACGTCTTCTTGCTTTACATCGATGCAAATAGCGGCTGCTGTCTCACTTCGAGCGGGGCAGATAAATGTGAAGCCCTCAAGCCGAGGGCCCCTCAAGGCCTGGTGCTTATGGGGGAAACATAACAAGTCAAACATTAAAGCTGGAAGAGCCTAATTCAAATGTAAGGACCACAGCGGGTTACTGCACAAATGTCCACTATGTCCACAGAGATGAAAGCGCTGCTATTTATTACCGAGAAGAAAGTTCTCTCCTCCAACAAAGCTACTTTTTTTTTTTTTGTGTATATATTTATTTTTTTTAGAACCAAAATCTGGGGCAAAGGACAAGTGAAGTGGCTCCTTTCACTGGAATCAAGTGCTCATTTGAATGGAAGAAAAATCATGTGCGGCTGTGCCCTGACAAAAATGCGCGCTCGAGTGGAAGGGAGGGACTGTTGGTGTATTCGGGTCAGGGCTGGAAGTGAATTCTCAGGTGTTAAAAAGAATCCCTTCGGTAGAGATTTTCCCACATTCAAGGGAGAAAAACAAAATTGAAACAAGAACGAGAAAGGCTGGAAAGTAGCAAACCAGGTGGGCTTCAGCCGGGCTAATGACAGATTAAGTGGGGAAAGCGGTGAATTAAAGATGAGTTTGCTGGCAGGTGGATAAAACGACGTGTAAGCGGCGAGGATGGGGTTGTCTGTACGCCATTAAATATGAATGGGTCTCGTGACCCCGGGCGAAATGACAACATTCCCACAGATGTGCAGCTAAATGCACGAGTAATCATTCTCAGCGCAAAAGCATCCAGATCATCTTGGGGCAGAGCGCTCGGCGAACTCTGACCTCTGTTTCCCATTAAGGTTTTTATACATGACTGAGAAAAACAGCGTGAAAATTCCACGTCACTCACCGACATAAATTGCGGATAAGTATTTTAGAGTGTGCATCTAATTACTACACTCACACACTTCAGACTGTCGAACAAAAATGACCACTGTGCTTATGTGGTCATCTTTTGTTGTTGTTGAGCATTTACGTTAACAGATAGCTCCAAAACTTTCGTTTTTGTTTGTCCTTTGGTAATTCTTCTAGGATTTTCAGGGAAGAGAGTTGGAATCATGGTTCCACAAATTACAGAGTTGAGCAGGTCCTGAAGAAGCAGAACAAACACAGACCACCACACTCCCTCCACCGTGTTTGATTGTTGGTATCTTTAATGCTAAGTTATGATGGGTCACAAACCTTCCGAGAAAGTCTTTCGAGTCACTTTCAAAGACTATGAAGATGTTTTTTTTTGTTTGTTTGTTTTCTTTTTGGTAAATCTGAGCACTTTGTGTTATTTTGGTCTAAAAAGGTTTTGACCTCGTCACTCTCCTGTGGATGACCTTTACCCCCAATGTTTTTCATTTTTATTGCCTGAGGAGAGTGAGGCGCTAAGTGCTTTTGGCTCTTGTTGTTGGTATATTTTGGATGACGTAACGATGCCGTCCTGATTCTTAATATTAGATTCACCACATCTAGGAAGGTTGACTGCCACAACTGTTCTATGTTTTTGTAGATATTGGCTCCCTACTCAACCATAAAGCCTTTGAAATGGCTTTGTAACCTTTAACTTTGCACTTTATTTATTTACCTCTCAAGTAGAATGTGTTGGCTATAAAACAGCTACTAACCTGACTTTCCATCTGTTCAATGACTCCCCCAAACCTCCGATGTATTTCTTTGGTGAACTCAAAACAAGAAATCCATCTCATAACAGTCATGTTTTTTTTTAATAGCATATGTGTTTATCTGATAAATATAAAAAAAGGAAAAAGGTTGTTACAGTACATTCCATTTGCAGAGAAGCAGAGTCAAAGCTACAGGACTTGAGATGACGAGAGCAGATCTGTTGGACAAAAGTTATGATCTTATTCCTGGTTTAACGTCGCATCAGCTGAGGCCAGCGAGCAGCACTGTCATAACTTCCTTCGCCGGTTGCATTGTTTTTGGCCGTTACGCACGGCTGAATTCTCTAAAGTAAAAACGAAATACATTTTCAGTGTGGATACATTCATATATATTTATATAAAAATGTCTTTATTTCCCTATTGTGCTTTATGAGGGAATATTGCCTTCACTCTGACAGGTGAGTGAACTGAAAATCTCGGAGATGCTAACCCAGGGCGCCAATCGGGGAGGAATGCATTATGGTGGGGCTCGTGAACCAATTGGAGGGCATTTGCTCCAGGCCACTTTACAACAGGGGGTGACTACCTTGTGCCCCAAAATAACCCTCGTTTAAACAGAGCTGACTCCTGCTAAATATGCATCAGTAAATGCCAGGTTTAGCGATTAAAATACCAAACCGTGTTTCCTTTAAATAGAAAGGGTAAATGGCAAGCTGGATCTCCATGGGGCGACATGCAGCATGTTAATGTGTGTCTACAGGCACTACTCAAAAGGTTTGGAAAGGCATGCAGAGAGAAATAGGGGTAGGAGGGTGGGGGCATTTGAAAAAGCGAGAGAAAAGTCGGGGGAGGCAAAGAGTCCCTGTGCTCAGTGCGACAGACCACAGCAGGGGTTGTTCTGCCCAAGGCGTAGCACGAGTCCCTCGCCGCCACCACCACCGTTCCAACAGACATCTTCCTTCATCCTTTTACCCCCATTTTCCCTTGGGTAGGTGGATAAAGAGCACGAGATGCCCCATCTCTCGTTTCACAGTGTCCTCTTTTCCAAGAGGACACTGTATTGCAGCCATAGCATCCGACGAGGGTTGAGTGAGCAAGGAAAGAAGGGTTAAGAGGCAGAGAAAGAGGGGAAAGCAGAGAGCACAGACCACTGCTCTCTACTTCAATCTTAATGTCTCGACCTCCATTACGGCAGAGTCCAGCCCAAGGAGCCTCGCGGTGTGGGACTAAAGATCAACCTCATCCATTGATCTCCAAAACCGACTTAAGCCTCTATAGGCCACTTAAGAGCACTACGTTTTGTTTTTATAAAGCTATACACCTAAACATTTTCTGTCCTCATGCAATTGGATGTTTAAAAGCTTCCAAAACAAAAAGAATCGCTTGTTGCATTCCTCTACTGTAGATGCCTTGGAGACCGCAGCTAAACAGTCGTCTATTTAGTTCAGGAATATCCCAAGAAATAAAAATAAAAAACTTCCTGGAAATTGTCCTGCAGAGTCCAGGTGAGTTCTAAAGGGGATCTGCTACAAAACCCCTAGCTCTGGCTTGGGTAGAGTCTTACGGGTCCAGTTTGAGAAGAGCATCCGGGGCTCTTGTGAGGGTCCTCACCTGCCCCGTCCTGCGGAGGCGAACTGTGTACCCTTAACCTGACAGAAGTACAAGGCAGCGGAGGCTCCGGGATGACGGCGGCGCCGGAGAGTGGCGGCGGCGGTCGCTGAGACGATACATCTGGAGTTAAAGGGGGAGTTGACTTGGGTATAATGGCTGGACAAACCAACTGCAGGCTCTGGGGTCTGTGCGTCAGAGAGTCCGCGTAGCACATTGCGGCGTGCTGCTGAGAGATGGCGAGGGACGAGCAGAGCGAAGGCGTGAGCGGGTCTGTCCAGATGGGGGCAGCTTTGGACGGTGAGTGGCAGGGCTGAGGAGGGGACGGGCAGTGCAGGTACGTGTGGTGGGCCGGGGAGTAGTGAGTGGGACAGATTATTGCAGGTTGGGGAACCGAAGGCGTGAGAGCCTCCATCAGCGTGGCCATTCTCTTCATGACCTGCCCAAGGTCTGCTACTTCCCTCCGCAGGGTACTCACCTGCAGACGAAAACAGAGACGATATCTTATGTCGAATATTTGAGATAAAATTTGGGGTATTTTTTTTTTCTCCTTATTGTTTTTATCTTGGTGTTTTAGCACACGCTCTACTGGCATTTTCTCCCAGCAAACCAGCTGTTCCTAGAATGCATATAGTATTTTACATAATGAGGTAATAAAGACCTACCAGAGCTACAGATGTTTCATGATTGTGCGACATTATAATCACGTCTTTGCCGTTTCAGCCCAAACAAGAAGACTTTCTACCGTCGACTAGAAGAACAACTGGTCAAAAACAAACAGGCATATGGAAAGCTTTTTTTTTATTTTTAATGTTTATCATTATTTCTGTTTTATTTATATGTTTTACCTTTGTATGGAAGTCCTTGCTGGTGCCGCACAAAAGATTTTCAGCACCGAATCATGTAATTGGGAGCAATCTCACCTCGATCTTTGCCATTTCTTTCCTTTACATCATAGCTTCAGCTGAAGCTTATGCAAACTGAAATCTCCTGCAGCCGATTCTCATTAACAGCAGTCAAAACGCAGGGCGACACTGTGAAACACTACCAGAAACACAGTTTGCTTACTGCGATTTGTCATATACAGCCCAGATCCTACTAGCATGTGTTTCTGAACTATATATGTGTATTTGCTCATAGGTAATATAAGCAAACATTACCTATGAGTAATAGGTAATATTACTCATATTAGCTTCAGGTAATAATATGTTCCTGTCACGTGTTAAACAGCTAAACATGAACTTGACTATCGCAGGTGTCTGAGGATACTCAATCTAACTTTTAGATTTCGGTCACTCCCATGCCACTATGAAAAAAAAAAAACAAAAAACACAAAAAGGACAGAGGAATCTATGGATTTATCATCTTTCTGGTGTTTTTTTTTTTTTTTTTTTTTGCGAGTAAGACCGAGCTGCTGTAACCGTCCATTATGTCGATGGCGGTAATTAGCCGCTCGCTGCACGTGCCGTGTCCACAGAGGGCATGGCCGTGAAGCCCTCCCAACGCGCCATCTGTTTCTGCCAGTCACGGCGCTCATGACCATTCATCTGGGCAATGGCGCTCATCATTACAACTGGAGGGACGTCAGCTCTCAGCACGGCACGCAGCTCCATATGGGAAGTGCTTCAATCGCCGTGTGAATATGTCAAGAGGCGATCAGGCAAAGCGCACAACTATATTATGATTGCAGCCGTCCGAAATCCGGCTGGCCCCTCGGATTCTCTGTTTGAGATTTAAGGAGAGACGTCAGACATGATATGCATGATAGACTTGTAAATAAAGGATATATAGTGTAATTACTTCAACAAACCGTGGTATTTTTCCAACCCAATTTTAAGAGACAAAAACATTCAGTCTTATTTTTTATTTTTTTTTGACAGGCTTGCTCTAACTTCCCCTCGTGTGGTTTGGGAACAGCCTGGGTTGAAACCGCGGCTCTGACAAAAATAGAAAAGCAGAGAGTGGCAGGACGGTCCAATCTGACACGCTGTCAACATGATTCCTGGTCTCCCACATTTGAGACAACCGTCAGCAGTTTCTGGTCAGGGAGAGAACCACAGCAGACCACAACGAACCCGCAGCCACATTCACGTAGTAAAAGCAATGTAAAAAAATCTCAATTACCCTGAAATTATAACTTCTTGATGACAAGTTTGATCGTCTATCACAGTTGAAATCGGATTCAAGAGGTTAAAGATATGCAGCTACATATTAAGATGTGTAATAGTAATGTTACCTCCAGTCACCTGTTTTGATAACTGGTGGTTATTACAGCCACAATTCAACCACGTGTCCGAAGGTTCAAGTACGACTAAGAGTCCTTCCTCTATTCCTCCATGGTAGTGAGAAAATGCTAACAGTAGCATATAAACTGTCAACAGTGCTTATTGTTTCCTTTATTAAAGGGTGTTAGCATTAGCTAACATGCTACCGCTGATACTTACACTAAGAAGTTCAAAATCACAGTTTGAAGTGTGATAACGTTTTACAATATTTGTTTTTGCGTGAAACTATTTGATGGGACAATAAACCCCAAAATAAGCAATGTTGCTCATGCACTGTTGTGTGGTGCGTGCTCGTGTACGTTCCCGATCAAACGAGTGTCTCCCGCATCCTGATCGGCGCCGTTGGATCCAAGTGTGGATGAGCAACCAGAGGACCAAGCTTTTCCCCGTGGTTTTACTTTTTCCTGCCGAGACAGCTGTTTCATTCCATGACAGACACTGAGGCTTAGCAGGAGGAGGAAAAAGCCTGCCCTCCTCAGCTGCCAAAAGTCTAATGTCAATTTAGCTACCTGCCAATCAAGCCATGGGACGCACCGTGAGAGTCTGAATGTCGGTGTGTGGACAGAATATCTCAAGCTGCAACATGAACCATTATAATCAATGACATCTAATACGGCAACACTCCGCGTACTTTTCAGATTGAGAATGAAATTTGGATAAAAAAAACGGGTACGTTTTGGTTCATTAAGTCTAATCCAGGGGTGTCAAACTCCAGTCCTCAGGGGCCGGTGTCCTGCAACTTTTAGATGTGCCTCTGCTGCACCACACCTGAAAAGAATAATTAGGTCATTAGCAAAGCTCTGGAGAACAAGGAGGAGGTAATTAAGCCATTTCATCCCAGTGTTTTGTACCTGTGGCACATCTAAAAACTGCAGAACAGCGGCCCTTGAGGACTGGAGTTTGACACCCCTGGTCTAATCCTTTCACCCTGGATGAAACACCTTGCTTCTGCTTTAGCTCACCTGTCGAAATCCTCCTCCCTTCTCACAGAGCTATATTCCTATTTAGGTCATCAAATTGGCTGGCTCTTCAAAGAGGTGAAGGTGAAACTACTTATGGCTTCTGCGTTTCAGATGAAGCACAAAAAATATTTTCAAAAAACGTATTTCCAGAAGCCTACCTGCAAACCTTTCCAACTACATCCGTCTAAATCCTGTCCTTCAAACCACACCTTTACTTTAGTGTTTAAATGTTAATGATTATTTTTAAATTCTTGCCACCCAAAAATGTGCATGTTGCTAAATCATACCTGCTGGTCGAGGTGTCGCAGTTGTCCCCTGGTCTCCTCTGCTTTTGCTGCTAATTCTGTTGTGCTGATGTGCAGCGTGTCTGTGTTGAACCAGCGAGTAAGAGAAAAAACATTCGAGTTCCATGAATACAGATGGAAAGAGGTGAAGGTGAAACTACTTATGGCTTCTGTGTTTCAGATGAAGCACAAAAAATATTTTTAAAAAACGTATTCTAGAATAACCTGTGGTTGACATTGAGGCACTGGTTGGTTCACTGACAGGACAGCCGAGACCAGCGGAAAAGGAGAACGTCTGGGAAGTTTCTGGTCCCTCACTGTCTTCGGTACCATCCACTATCCTACAGAGACACAAAGGAAACCTTAGAAACCTTAACCTAAATAAATGTTAACTGCCTAGTTTAGTTGCCCCAAACCTCTCTACCCTGATAAAACATGAAAAATAAGAAGTAGCAATTCTATAATCATTAAACACAATTATTATCACATTTAGTCCCTCAATAATTGAAATTCTTGTTTTGGTCTTTTCCTCTTAAGCCTCTGTGGAGGGTTAGGGTTTCTTCCAAGAGTTACTCTCTGGCTGGCATGACATTAGTGTCCGATGATGAAACCAGTGGGCGACTGGACCCACCTGGGGCTGAGGTTCGAAGGGTCAAGAGCAGTTGGCGTCATTTCCTGCAGGTTTTTCTGGGAGCGAACCAAGCTGTGAGTGACGGTCTTCTGTTGGGGCTGGCACGGAGGAGACTTCCCCACGGTGTCCCCAAGGCTCTTAGGTCGATGGTGCTCCGTCAGAAGAGTTACAGACTCGGCGTTGTCACGCTCGTCAGACTCCGAGTCGCCCTCGTGCTCCTCCCGGGCCTCAGCTACCGGAGGCTGGCCCTGAACCACGCGCCCGTTCCTTCTGACTCCAGACTGGGAGAGAAATAAAACAACTAATTATCAACCTGTGATGTGTGAACATTTGAAATTAATTACATACCCAAGTAAGAATAAAAACTGAAGCTCTGAAAACATAAATTACCATATTTTCCGGAGTATAAATTGCAGTCGCGACTATGGAAATGAACACATCGTTATATGATATCACATGTTATTTTCACAGTAAACCGCAAGAGGGCGCTCTAGGCCTGTGTTACTCTACTTCCGGCGTTAGCAGAGTGGTTTAAAAGCGACATAGAGGACGACGATTTAATTGCGTTTAGTGATTTGGAGAGACACGGAAGGTTTGGTAAACTTGTTAGCATGTTATTTATGCCATAGTTATCTGAATAACTCTTAATATGTTCTGCTAACATACCAGGCACGTTCTTAGTTCGTAGTTTGTCACGTAACGTTAGCATACCGTACAATTATTGAACCTGTTGTCGCCTCTATTCGACTTTTATTGCCTTTCAAGATGACATGTCTGATCTTGGTTTGGATTTTATTAAATAAATTTCCCTCAAAAATGCGACTTATAGTCCGGAAAATACGGCAGCATGTTTCCAGTGAGGGCCGTGAATTATTTTTCTCAGGCGATAATACGGTTATCCTAAAGTTAACCGGCAGGACCGGCGGATTGATTTGTCTGTAAAACGTCTCAGACGCTTCCCTGCATATGAAGCATTTCTCTTCAGCTCTCTGTCCTGCTACTGCAAATCACTGGAGCAAATTTGTGAAGAATTTAAAATTTTACATGATCAATTTCCCCACGAAACCATTTCACCAGGACTTTTTTTTTTGGCTAGTAGGAGTGAGGAAAGGAAAACTGATCAAGATCAACATGGAGTATGTTCAAATATCAGACATATCTATTGGTTTATTCAAACTTTTAGCTTTCGCTTGGGCAGGACCTTGTAAACATATGAAAACCCTTTGAATATCTTAAGATTTTGTTGTGTTACGACCTCCACCACTAATGCATTAGGATTCATTTACCCTGGGAGAGACCAACGGCTGTATATACTTGTGAAATTGAACAATAACAAAACATCGCCTTCACATTTGTGAACATGAGGAGCATATAGCATAAAACTGTTCCCAGCCTCTCTCGGTGAAATCTTTGTAGAAACACATTCTACTCAAATCTCAGTTTCAAGTATTTGTGGCTGGTTCTCCCTTCTTACTCCTGCTGCTACTAAGCAGAAAATGTCAGAAAAAGATTTGTTTAAATTTATACCAAATGTTTATTGTTATTATTTTTGAAAATGTAAGACATTCGAAACTATGTTTAAAAGTCTTATAGCACTGGCAGTCTTAAGCTGTAGGTATTCTAAGCACATATTTCAAACATAAAAAAGAAAACAACGCTTTCAAATTGCCTTTATGATTAAAAACATTCTTTTAATTTGGTTTTATGACATCCACAGTGAGGGAGACAAAGATCTACACGTGGCTCTGGAGCTGCAGCTTGCTGGTCTGTTGCATAAAGTCCCAATAAAACCCATTTTGCGTTCTTAAACTCAGGGAAAGTTCAAGCAGTATGAATAGCACTGCTTGATGAGCGGGCACCTGAGACTCCTGTGCTGCTGCTGACAATCTGGTTTTCACCTGGAAGACAGCCGGAGAAGAAACGCTCAATGCACGGAGGAAACAACATGTTGTTTTGTGTTCCAGCTTTTCTTTTCCCGGGGAGCAATTTGGCAGCATTCTCCGGTCAGTTCTTTCCCAAGCCGAGCAGAGAGACGCAACAAATAACTGCACAGCTCACAGTGAGACAACGCCGGAAATTTATTCGCCACAATATACTGGTGCCATTATGACATAGCCTAAGAGCAAACTGAACAGCGCAGCTCAAACAGAGCTCTATCCTCAGGTGCCTCCACCTATCTTCATTTACTCAGTGCTGAGATTTAGGCTGTCCCTCTGCAGATGAGTTTCACCTAAAAGCCCTGCGGCACGCTTCGTCTGTGTGTGTGTGTGTGTGTGTGTGCGCGCACACGACAGCGAATCCCAGTTGTGTTTGTGCAACAGAGTAAAACACCTGACTGTAATTACAGCAGCAGAGCAGAGCCGGGTATCCCAGCTACTTTTGCCAGCTCTCTCTTACAGCTACCTTAACTAGGACAGTGTCCTAATTTCTGTCCATTAGGCTCAGCTACAAACCCAAACTAAAATCACCTACACATTTTGTGCCATCGCCTTACTCTAAATGTAAACTCAGTACAGGAAATTGAGAAGGCCACAAGTATTGGTTGATTTTCTTTTCAACACTCAGGAAAAAGACATTCGGAAACTCTCAGGGTATGTGGTGGTTTTACAGACAAGTTGTAAACGTTGCTATAAAAATTACATTGCATGCGATGACTATGTTGTTGAAATGTTATTGATTTTGTTGTGTCTAGTGGATCTCTAATGGATTTTATTGCCCAAATTTACTCTTTTGTTCTTCTGACCCTTCTGTGAATCTCAGTTATCCCATTGTTTCAAGCCATCTACACGGTAAATGAGTTGAACTTACATTATTCCATGAACTTATACTATTCCAGTCACATTAACCACTCAAAGCACTTAACGCTAGAGCCACATTCACATAGCTGAATATCTGAATATATTTCTTGTCAGAACACATTATTTCAATTGGTTGGTTCACCCAGATTTTAAGCATCGTTTTTCAACGAGGTTGAGGTTGGAGTCATTCCTTAAGCCTTAATGCTGGCCTGCTTGAACAACTGGGATTCATCCTTCATTTTTTCAATTACTTAATATATATTTCACAAAATAAAGTTAAGGAGCTCGATAGAGAAAACAAAATATGTGAATTAGGGAAACGTCATGATGCCTTGAACCCTCATGTCATCGCATTCCTAAAATAATGGCCAATGTTATTTTTTTCAGGACAATATTTTAGGAAGGCGACAATATTTCTGTTCAACATAAGCGATTTGTTGAGAGCATACAGTCAGAGCTGTATGTTCAGCTGTTCAAATAACGCATCACAGGTTGGACGGACTCACGTGTGTCTCATGTCCCTCCCGCAGATTGTATGTGAGGTCCTGTTGGATGTCCTGGACAAAGTGATGAGAGTACTCGGGGTAGAGGTCCAGCACCTCATAGAGCCCTTTCAGGTTGATACACTGCAGGTCACAGTAGGTCAGGGCTTTCACATCTGCGTTGGTTTTTATCACACGGTTGTCTAATGACAGGTTCGCGCCGATCAGGTCGCCTTTACCTGTTCAGAGAGAGAGACACTGAAAGAGGGTGAGGACTGGGGACCACTTCAGAATGTTTTCACTCTGATAAAAGGGGTTGAAGATGCAGGCTCTCTCGCACTCATGTGCACACTTACGCTTGATATCTTTTGTTTTCATATGTATTTATGTTCAAGATTTGACCGAGGGCCTCATGCCAGCATGACATATGTTCTTGTTAGGATGTGCAGTGATGACAGAGAGGAGTGCACCCAAATGTGGAGTTCAAAGGTGTGTGAGTAGTACAAATAGATTTCACTTAAGTGAAGCAAACCAGAAGATGTTGCCGGAAATGAGAAGAGATGCAAACTCTGTGAGACACGAGGAACTACCAAAGAAGAAACGGAGAGCTGGGGAACAACTGGAACGTTTGGAAATTTGAAACGTTTCAGTAGACAGCAAATGTTAGATTTTTTTTTTCTATATTTTGAAAATCTAATACATATTTTTTCCCCTCTTTACAATTATGCTTTCTACTCCCCATTGCTTTCTCTAAAAACCATAGAAGTTTAAATGTAAAATGTGAAAAGAAACAAGATTTAAACATTCACAAGGCATTGCACAATGAAAGAAGGAGGAAAGTGAAAAACGAAAATTACAAATATTTTTTGTCAAATACCAAAAAAAAAATATCCAAAACATGACAGAGTAAACAACCAAACCAAATAAAACTATGCAATATGTTATAAAACATATTTTATAAAAAACATCTGTAAGAATTTGCCAACTAAATCCCCTTTTTTTCTATATAAATGCATTTTATGGCATTTTGTATATGCCATAAAATGCTGGACTTTCATTCTATCCGCCAATCAAAATCAGCATCATAGCAACAGATGTAAGTGTTTTATTATTAGTATTGTTATTAATAATAATGATTGACAACGTAACCTGTTAATGAAGTTTTGGTAGATATTTGTAGCCCAGCTGATCAAGAATAAAGAACGTAAGCCATAAAATATAAACTTTGTTCGTTTCAGCAGATACAGATTTAAATGTAAAAAGAAAATAAATCAATCACTAATGTTAATTCTAACTAGTTATTACTATTCTTGCATTTGTAAAGCAGACTCATCCGCAACACTTTTATGACGTGTAGCTGTTTGGGTGGTGTGGATGTGGCAGCTGTTTCGGTACAAATGGACTGAAGGCGAGACGCCCCTACCCCCTCCAGCGGTAATGTCCCATAAGTGATAAATGATTCATTAGGGTCATTGTGAACTATGAGGGCTGCTAAATTACAGCGGCACAGCTGAAGGAGCGAAAGTCGTGACTGTTCTTATTTCAGCCCTCTCTGTCTCTATCCTCCTGTCTGTCAGATCATTTATTGTCATATTACTTCACTCATTTCTCGTCTCTCGCTTCCTTCTTCCATTTCTTTCCCCCGTTCTCGATGACTTCCTCCTCGCTTTTCACATATTGGTTTTCCTTCCTTTTCGCCTTCTTTCCCTGTTAAACTTTCCTGTCTTTTTTGTTTGATTTCAGCCCTTTTTTATCCCTCCATTTTGCTGCAGCAACTTTGCTGCTCTTTTCCTTTCATCTTCATTTCAATTTTTAAATGTTTTTCTGTTTTTTCATCTTTCCTCTAATTCGTCAGCATCTGCCCAAAGTTATTTTCATTTGTAATTAATCTGCGTTGTCTTTCTTGTCTCCCTTGTCTGTGTAGTAATGATTTCAGTGGTTAATTTATGTATCTCTCAATCAGCCCTTTTGTCCTGCTTTTTCTAAAAACACTTTTTCTTCCTCTGACAGACCATTCTTTCTGACGATCCGTCATATCCAGCCTGTCCCCTTTCAAGAGCCCTTCTCCTTTCTCCCTCACGTTGTCATAACCTCACTTGTTCTCACTCTGTGTCTACTACTGACTTACGCATCTGTAACTACAGGCTGTTGTTTGGACAAAAACCTGAGGGGCTGGAGGTCAAAAAGAAACCTACTCAAACTCATCCACAGTGGAACAGGCTGAGACACAAAGAAGCAGCTTTGTCCTTCGGTGAAACACTCTGTGTCACTCCAACCTTCTGCACAGTCAGCAGACAATGCTATCTGTCTGTCAAACACACACACACATACATATACCTCCACCCACTCGATCAAATACACACACAGAGACACTACCATGAGACAATTTGAGGGCCAGCAAACAATATCCACCTGTGGGATTGCGACAAATATCCAAAGAAAAGCACAGTTTCTTTCTGCAGGTGTAGCAACACGTAGCTACTGTCAGAAACACAGCGTAACGTGACAAACACAGGAATCAACGCGTGAACAAAGACAGTGACATAGGGAGCTTCACATTTAGATTATATGCACATGCTGTTGCCGTATTGCTGTGTAGCTCTGTTCAAAAGGTCACAGGAGAAAGATGTCACTCAGGACGAGAGGTTGCGCAACAGCAGACGATCGTCTTTCAGCAGAAGGTCTTCTGGTTTTTTTGTTGTTTGTTTTGTTTTACAGATTTATCATGCATACAAAAACAGAGACCTGAACAAGGGAGCAAGTGGAGCAACTTTGAATATCAAAGTGTTTTTTAAAAACACTGGATTTTCATTCCATCTGCCAGACTCCTTCCCTGCTCTTTAAATTACCGCCGGATCTCGTAACTCCTAATTAGCTCTGAATATAAAAAGAACAACAGTTTTTCTCTCCACACATGAGAACTAAACAGAAACTCCAGAGTTTTAGTGCGGCTTCACTTTAATATGTGGTTTAAAATGACTTTTTCATCATGTTGAAACAGAAAGGAGTGTTGATCAAAAGTTCCTTTCTTATACTTTCAATGGTCATAAAGAGGGGCTGATTAGTGGTAGATGTGATTTTCTGCCTATAATTTATAACACTGTTTTTTTTTTCTATTTGAACTTTTCTGCGAACTTTGTGGGTTTTTTTAAAATTTTGTTCTGAGTTAGTGCTTCAGGTGACATTAAGTTTAGTAATGAGAAATTGAACTCGTTTCATTTGGTTCCCCAGTGAAGCTGCTCCAGTTATGGAGACAATAATTAAAGGCTGCGTGTTTTATTTGAAGAGTTTACTTTTTCTCAGTATTTTTCCTCAGTTTGGAATTTCTAGATACATTTTTAAGAAGGCTTTGTGTAGGACATCAAAAATTAAAACGTCATTAATTTCATGACCAGATTCCTTGACTGGATATTTGTAGGCCTTCTTGAGACCTTGCTTGGATTTTTATATTGCTTTGCACAAAAGTCCTTTGAGAATCTTCTGCAGAGAATATTAATTAAAAACAATGATATAGAATTAATGTGTTTTTTTTTCCTATGTTCTTTGCACATTTACTGCCGTTCACTTAGTTGAATTTTGTGTCTAAACACTGAGCTTATCTACAGGATTCAGAGTTTATTGTAAACTCAAGTGCTATGATCTTTGATTACACCACGAGCCTTTTAGCAGTTCCACTTTAACCTACCCAGGATGGCTAACACCATTCCATCTTTCAGCACTTCCATGGACCCTGAGCAGACAAAGAAGACAGCCTGGAGAGCGTCGCCCTGTCGGAGGAGGTACTCCCCCGGGGTGCAAAAGGAGGTCTTAATGTGCAGCGACAGCGAGCGCAGGCAGCCACGGCTGGCCGAGGCAAACAATGACAGCTCCAGGATCTCCTTGTTGAGATGCATGGTGATGTCGGAGCGCAGCTCATCCGGAAAGTCCTTCAGCAGCTGTATGTGGGGAAATGAGAGAGAGAGGGGGTAAGAAAGTGTGACAGTTGTGAAAACACCATTCCGCAACTCGGTAATTGAATTTTTAGCCTTCGATATTTATTTATTTTTTTTGGATTCCTGACCTCTGAACACAATTCACTCAGCTCCTATAAACAGAAAAGCGTGGCTGTCGAAGAGCAGCCACAACATTGCGTCGTGTCGACAAACGCACGATTGTCTCGGCCGGAGGACGGAAATCTGTCGTGGATTCCGTCGGTGAGTCATCAGAGCTTTACTTTAATCAACAGGCCCATCTATAATTCATCCGTCTGGGATTCATCAGCGTCCCTCCGTCTAACCCTCTGCTCGGGATTCTGACAGCTGTCTCGCAGGCCCGCGCAGCCTGGAGAGGCGAGTTACTATCAGACGACTGACAGGTTTCCCTGGGCCTGTCGGGAGGACGTGTTATTTACAGCTGGTGTGGTGAAATGCCACAACTCCCTGATCTTCATGCTTGTCTTTAGCTCGACGGGAAAGATAAAAAAAAAATACAAAAAAATGAAACAAAACACTCAAGTTTGTTCAAGGAAAACGTAACACAAACCAGAGCGAGTTGAACCTGTCACACGTCAACCAGGATGACTCGAGCGTTATGTGGTTAGTTAGTTATTACAGTGTGAAATGTGGCAATAAGAGGAGAGCAGCTGGGAAAAAATAAATAAATAAAATCAAGGATGCTGCAACATGCTCCTTGCTCTGTAGAAGTATTGATCACATTATCAGCTTTTGGATTAGCTTTAATGCGGCGTCTGTGTGAGAACCGTGTGAATTAACTCATAAAATATTGATACTGATTTGCCATGCAGCCTGTATCTAGAAATAAGCCTGGAGATTTTTGAACAGTGAAGGTTTTCACTTTAAATTCATAAGTTTACAACAAAAATGCCTCACTAAAGTTGATTGATTCCAACTTTTATGGGCGAAAACTTAAGCAGAAAGACCCCAATAGTCAGCTTAACTTTTGTTTTCGTAGAATTCTTTCTCCAAGTCAGCGCAAAAGTTTATTTTTCCCCATTACCATAAAAATAACCTTCAGATGTTTTTTCTGCCCTTCTTTCAAGGTGTAAAAATTATTATTTTTGTTTTTGGAAGAAATAAATAGAAAAAAAATCAATTCAGCTCTGAAAGTGAGGGAGAAGCAAGTCTTCAGAAAATTCATTTAGAATATGATGCAGTTGTTGCTAAATTCAGCCTTCAGCAGATGATCTTCGGTACGTCAGCAGTCAGTTAAAGCTGCATAGAAGCCAGAAAGGACTTCTACAAATACAAAACATTAGAGAGAAAAAAGCCTCTCATTTGCCTATTAAGGCTGAAGAAAACTAAATTGCTGTGTTTGCTTCTTTCAGAAATTGAAAAAAGAAGAACTGTGGAGCGTAAGAAAAACTTTTACAATGATTTTAAAAAAATTATTAGAATTAAACAGATATTTGGCTATCTATGTAAAAATAGATCATGAAAAAGTCTAACTTTAAAGATGGTAGTTACAAAAAAATACATTTTTAAATGTCTCATACTATTAAAACTTATCAACAGACAGGATAAGTTTTATCCTGTCCAGGATAAAAGTCAAACTCTTGTATTTAAGTGTTTGACTTTTTTCGAGAAAGAAGGCCTGAGTTTTTATTCATAACTAAAATCAGTCAAGTCTGAATCAATCTCAGTCTAAAAGTTCACATTAGTGCCTCTTGTGGCGGAAAGCAGTATTACAAAAACACACATTTTATTCACCTTGGTGGTGGTAGATCATACTTTCATCAACCATACTCAGTTTATTAACATGGAAACAGGCTGTCTCAATTAAATTTAAGATTTTATCTCTTTCTGCTATTTATCTCCAGAATTCATGGAAAAATGTTTATCTAAAATTAATAATTTTTATTTATTTTTTTTTTGAAAAATTGGGTTTTTTTGGAAGTTAAATAAAAAGTGTTCCAGTAACTCAGAAACATGTAAACACAAGAGTAAAGCTCAACTGATCAGATTTTGAACAGATTTTCCTAAAGAAAAAGTTTCTGCCTCAGAAATAAAACGTTCACTTTCCTCTGCGATAACTTTTGAGATTATGAGAAATGGAAGTTGAGTCACTCTGAAACTGTGTAAAAATACAATATCATTTGAACTGACCTTCGGGATTTCTCTACTTAAGTATCAGATCACTGAACAAGGACAGCAAAAGAACATAAATGTTTCTTTCTCCAAACTTTGTCCTCACAATGAATCCCTAAAAGTTTGGGATCACTTTGCAGCTGACTTGAGTTTTTGCAGAGGTCTCCTGACCCCAATTTACCTCATGGCTGACTCATATGTATAGAGGCCAGGTACAGATCAGACGAATGACTCAGGTACTGCAGAACATTCAGAAAATGTCTGGGTCTTGAGAAAATCGTTCAACTATTTTTGGTCTCTGTAAAAAGAAGTTTCAGGTTAATGAGGTGGAATGCTCAAATCCTTCCTTAATTAAAGGAAAGGAAACTATGGGAAGATGTTTAAAAAAAAAAAAAAAAAACTCAACTGTTTTCCACAACTTTGATTTCGCTCTATAAAACACTTACTCATGGTAAACCACACAAATAAAGGAGACGGTTCCTGTCCCATACCTCATTGCAGTCGATTCCATTATTGACCGACCAGGTTGTCTGGAAGTACTCGAGCATTCGCTGCTTGAGGCTCTGTGGCAGATGATGGACGCGAATGAAATCCTTCAGGTCTTTGGTCCTGGTGTGGTACTGAGACCAGCGGGAGTACATCCTCTGGATAATGGCTGTCACATTGCCAAAGACTAAGGCATGCATCAGTGCTGCGGGTGAAAGAAGGGAGGAAGAAGGAGGATGATGGGAAAGTTAGACAGGAAGCAGAAGATGGAGAACAACAACGATTGGAGCATCAGGAAATTGACATTCAAACAGGAAAACAAAAGAAAAAAAAAGAAAAATTCTACTTTAAATACATGTAAAATATTTCTTACATTTCAAGACATATGTCAGTTGCACTGTTTCTTACTGGTTCCTGGAACATCCTTCAAATTAGGATGTTAAGTGTTGCTTTATGAGAGCCTACTTCATGTAGCCAGAGAAGTTCTGAAGTCCTCTAATAAAGGAGGTCAACATTTCAAACAGCTTTTGAGATTTATCCGGATTACACTTCTCTTTTATAAACATCACTTGACGATCTAGAAGATTTTAGTAAACGGGAGCTAAAGAAAATAAAAATCTGCTCACTGTACTTTAGATGCGCAGCAGGGGCAACTGAATATAAATCGGCTGCTTGCGACCCGACATGATTCACGTGTTGAACTTGACTTTTATACGATGAAATCGAATGAGAGAAAACCCAAATGCTAAATTTACATTTATATCTCGCGCGCAGGAAGCACGCAGCACGGAGCTTATTTGATTGCGCAGACGGACGCTGGCCTTTCTGCGCCCGCAGGTGATCCGTTCTCCTGATCTCATCGAGTTCTGAGCTGCAGCACAGCTGCGTCACCAAACGCCGGACATCAGGGAGCCATCGGCCTGGCGAGGTCACTTTTCTTACAAAGTGAAATTACACTGACATATCGAAGTGGTAACCTCCATAAGATACCATTTAACTTCTATAAAAGCTTACGGCGAAAGGTGCTTTTACTGTCTCGGTTTGCATCGGGGAGAAAAAAAAAGTCCCTAGGTAGTTATAGTTTGTGTTCTGAAGGCTGTGCTGTAATTACCAGCTTCGCCACCGGGTGGCGCGAAAATTAGTGAGTCAAACGATGTTTGAGAAACGGTTCGGTTCGGCAGACATGGTGTTGGAGGGTGGTTTCGTGATTTTCTTTTGAGTGCGGCTATATGAGCAGTAGGTTGTGCTGCACTTATGTTTGAGCGGCATAATATGTGTGTTTTAGTCCTCTGAATATATTCGGTTGTTAGAGTTTCTTCGACTAAGCGAAGGCTAGGAAGGCTAAGCTAAGCTAACTTCTCTACGAAAATTGTGAACCATATTATGTGTAGTTGCTTTCTTTTCCTTTATTTAACTTTTGAAACAGACAGACAGATACTATGATTATAATATGTTTGTACACGAGTATTTGCATTTATGGTGGATTCTAATTTGAATTCATTCTCTTTGTAGAACCACACATACACACCTTTCAAACCCACTTATAACCTGCTGATTAAAGAACCTGGCTTCATTATTGGCTTCCAATCATTTGGGCATCTAATCATTGCGCTTTCTGCGAACACCATTTCCACTCTGAACCCCAGACGTGCAAACAGCATTTTGTCAAACATTTTCAGCTATTACTCAACTAACTTATATGAGGAGCTTGTGACCAGTGAACATAGTTACTTTGAAAAAGTAACTTTAATCGGATTGCTGATTACTCCTTGAAAAAGTAACTTAGACTGATTACTTGATTTGGAAAGTAACTAAGTTACATTAAAATTAACAATTTTAATTACTTTCAGCAGCTGCTAACAACAATTATTGGCCTGTGAAAACTAGCAAACCAGAAAGTCATGTGCACTGGGAATTACACTAAGGAAATGAGGAAGGGAGGGTCAGTAGAGAGCACCGGAGTTGAGCCTTTTTTATTCAGTGTCATCTACAGAAAGAGAAAAAGGACGGAAGAAACAATAAAGCCGATAATTAAAATGAGGTCGATGATTTTATCGTGCGATTAATTTATTTATTGTTTATTGTGACAGGCCAAATTGTTGTGCCACTTTGGTTGTTTGTTTGTTTTTTGCTTTTTACCCCACATTTTCTCCATCTAGTGGTGTTTTCTAATAAATTCTGACAGGTGGAGTTTCTCTTTGCCCCATTTGAACATGCCAAATGACATCTATATTAAGTATGACTATTTTGGACCATTTCCTACAATTTAAGGAAGTGACATTTCAAACTGCTTACGTTAACTTATTGGAAAATATTCTTGCTTTATGTAGCTTCCATTTAAACTTTAATATATAAAATGTTCGTCCTCAGGATGGTTATTTTTAATACTCTAAACTGCACCCTAAAACAATTCAAACATCATAGTGATTCATTTACATAACTCATCTAAGTTCATTGAGGGTATGCTCCACAATAAATATGAGCAGGTGCTTCGGATTAGTTTTCACTCCATGTCTCCCCGCTGGGAATGGGATGTATGTGAACAAACATGAGGATGTGTTGAGCGTGTGGGTGTGTGTGGCTTCTCCTGCTACTGCCCTCCGGCAGCCGGGGACATTTAGCATTTAGCTGAAACAGAGAGGAGAGAGTATCCACCGGGAAAACCTTGCAAAAGTGACTGCCAAAAAAAAAAGCTTACTCTGTCTGGTTTAAACAAGTTCTGTCCCCTCTACAGTTCTGCATAAAAAAGCCGTATAATGGAGCAGAAAACCGAAAAAAAAAAGGAATAGGAAATCCAATTACATGCTTCTGAAATTTTAACTAAGACAAGAAGAATTACTCTTATTAACTCAGTTTTACCCATTACTCTTCACAATGAAGTCTCATTTTGAAATTAACTTTGAAGGAGTCATTTCCAAAAGACATGCGTCTACGCGCACAAACCCACACAAAAGTATTCACACCCTCAGGACTTTTTCACATTTTTGCTTTTTCAGACCCAAGTCACTTATTTTTATGCTTATGTTTTGAAAAAAAAAACAACTTTTGTTGATCATAATGAGTTTGTAAAAGCGATAAAAATGGTAAAACATTGAAGGAAATGAATACTTTCTATAGTCAATGTATCTCCATTCATCTTCCCATTGGCTCTGCCTAACTTCCCTAGATTGAACATATTTATTGGGTCTTTTTAATTAGCATAGTTTTTTTTTTAAATGAAACTTTAATGACATTCTTCCAACAATGGCTTTCTTTTTGGCACTCTTTCATAAAAGGCAGTTTTCAAAAACGGTGGCATTTAATTTAGTTTTTCAGACATAAACGGCACCCAAAGGTTTTATAACTTTAAAACAGTTTTAAACTTTAAACACAGTTTCATCCCTGAGCTGTCTGCTGTGTTCCTTGGTCTTCATTATGAGTTTTCTCTAATGTTCTCGAACAAACCTCAGGGGCTTTCACATAACAGATTATATTACACTCAGATCATATTACACTCAGATGGAGACAGTTGGTTGTACTGACGGATGTGAAAATAAAGGGCGCTTAACACATATGGATTCAGACTTGTTAAATGTTTTCAAGTCTAAGACAATGGTACATTTTTTTTCCAAATTCAAGACATAGGTATATGCTTTGTTTACTGATGCACAAAAAGAGCTGTGCATGAACATCACCTTGCTCAAAGAACAAAACCAACAAAGTGCATAAACTCATAACAAATTACGATATTATTTTATTCTGGCCCAAAGATAAATATTTTGGCCCCATAAAAGAATTTCAGACCCCCCAAATATATATATATATATATATATATATATATATATATATATATATATATATATATATATATATATATATATATATATATATATATATATATATATTTTTTTTTTGCCATTTTACTAATTAAAAATAAATAAAGATTTTAAAAAAAGAATTTTACATTTTTTAATACATTTTTTTTAAATTTGAAATTTAATTTGTTTTTTGTTGTTTTGAATTCACAAAATACTTTTTTTTTTACTTTTCCCCATCTCCATGCAGCTTCAAGAAGTGTTCCCTTAGTTTTGCCGGTGCAAGACCAGAGTTGCTCAACTTGGCATTGGATATCATGCAGATGGGACGCCGACTGCTATCCCGTTCCGTGATACGCGTGAATCCATGTTCCACATATTCGTCTGATCACTTTCATTTTTTTTTTGCTCAACATGTTTAGTATGAATTAAAGTATTGAGAAAGAAACCACACGACATACAACTACGACAGCCGTTGAATACCGCGCGCACTAAATTCCCCGCAGCACTTATTGGCCAAGCAATGTCACGTGATCCTCTGAAGTAAGTGATGGCCAAGCGAGGCCTTTGCACAGGTGTGTCTTTTACCTCAGCGGCAGACGCTTCGCCGAACCCCTGAGACCGACTAATCGAACCCCTGAGACCGACTAATCGAACCCCTGAGACCGACTAATCGAACCCCTGGGGTGTGATGAAACCCAGGTCAAGAACCACTGCACCACTTGGTATTTGTCTGTCACATAAAATTTCCCCAACATATGTTCAAAATGTCAGGCTTTAATGAAGTGAAACGAGAAAAAGTCTCAGGCATTTTAGATTCTTCACAAAGCAACACATACTAAGACGTGAACTGGTAGCTGCCATTTTTATGTACCTCCGATGAGCATGATGCAAACAGAAAAGATCTTCTCAGCGTCGGTGTTTGCGGACACGTTGCCGAAGCCCACGCTGGTCAGGCTGCTGAGGGTGAAGTAGAGGGAAGCGATGTAGACGCTGCGGATAGAGGGACCGCTGCCAGTCGTGTTAACGTCTGCCATGCCCGCATATGGAGACTCCAAACGCTTCCCGAGCTCATGGAGCCACCCTGGTGAGAAGACGAAGACAGTCGACTTTCATCACCTAAAACAATACAAACGCTTATGTTTCATAACAAAAGTTCGGTTTTACACAAATTCTCAAGAGGCCATTCGCAGCGGAGCTAAATATGGATGCAGGCTAATCCAAAAGCGTTGCTTCTGAAGTTTGTCAGCCAAGTCCATCTTCCATTTAAACAGTATTCGGCACAAACTGAGCAAATTCCAGAAACAAAGCAGATGGCTGGAGAGCAGTCAGTACAGAATGGATCCACACAGCCGATCCCACGAGACTCTGTCGCTGACACTGATGAATGGTAATTGGGAGGAAACACCACATTCCTGCTTCACTTCAGCACCAACTTTGGCGTCGGAAGTAAATAATTAGGACACAATGCATTAATCCCGCCTCACGCATGGACTTGTTACTTTATGACACTGAACGGCAGTAATTGGTATAGAGAATGAGATAATTACGAGCAATGCGGCGCATCAATACTGACTGGAGATCAGCTCGATGGGGCTCATTACATGACTGACCTGGAGGCTGAGGGCTAAGCCATAAAGGTCTGTCATTAATTATGAAAAGTCGAGAAAAATCACACTCGACTCGGTTGTTATTCTCAAAGGTTTCACACTCTCAAACATTTTTTATTCAAAAGCACAGTTTGTTGAACCGTTACAGGGACATTTTGCCCAGAAACACTTTCCCTATACAGCATGTTGAAGTATGGATGCCAAGTAAGTTATCTAATATGTTCCTGATTTATTGGACATTTTTCTTTTAAAAACTTGGTCTACAATCCTCAGCACAGCGTCTTAAACCCGTTTGCATAATTGATATTGTGTTCTGCACTATTCAAGAAGCTAATCTTATTTTAACCTTGTGTGCAACTCAATTCCCGACCTGTTTGCTGTGTTTCTTTGTCTTCATTATGCTGTTTGTTCTCTAATGTTCTCTGACAAGCCTTGTGTGAAAGAAAAACATCCTTGACATGCCAGGTATTGTATTTAATTGTTGATTTGTTTTTTGTTTTGTTTGCTTGTTTTTTATGTCTATGTACATCATTTCAGCACCATTTGAGAACACATATGTATTTTACCGCACAGTTTAATGTAGTAGTTGATAACTTGAATCATTTTATGTTGATTATGGAAAAGCCCAGCTACAATCAGTCGCCTTTTATTCAGATTTGTCAAGCTGAAGAGCACTAAATGTAAAAGTGCTCCACATTTTATTTTTTACAAATGTTTGAATCTTTATTTATCATTTTGCTTCCAATGAACAATTATGCACTATTTTGTGTTTGTCTACCACATAAAATCCCAATAAAACACGCTGAGGTTTGTAGATGTTTCATGACAAACTGTTAAAGCAATTAAAGGCACTTTTGGTAGTAATATGTCCCCTGAGACAATATGCTAAAAATAAAACATTTTCTTCCTTTTGAAATTTCTTAGTTTGCCATATTTTGGAATGAATATCCAGACTCCTAAAAAAAAAAAAAAGCACGGTAATGATATTTTTAATAAGTGTCACGGCCATGGCAGCAAAGGAGCAACAGTCCGCTGCTGATTATATTTCAATTCCTAATAGGACCCCTGCAGCACTGAAAGGGGGGAGTTTAAAACTCACAATGAGAAAAAAAAGATGTCTATTTTAATTTGGGAGCCTTTGGGCTTCATTATATCCCGTCAAGATTTTCCGGTGTTTACCGATATCCCAGTTGTAGGCATTGGCCTCCATCTCCATCTTGCCGATGATGTACCAGATGCAGGCCATCCAGTGGGCCAGGAGGGCGAACATAGACATGAGGAGGGTCAGGACCACCGTGCTGTGCTGTGAGTAGCGGTCCATCTTCTGCAGCAGCCTCAGCAAACGAAGCAGACGGACGGTTTTTAACAGATGCACCACAGACACCTGTGGGGAAAAAGTTATTTATCTGAATACGCACATAAGATAACAGTTTTAGTACAAGTCAGTCAAAAATGTAGCAGTATTGCTCAGTGACAACCTTTAATCCCGTTTGTGATAACTTGAATATTATAAGATAGTCATAAAATCATTATTTTTTTAACCACAGAGTGAAAATACACAAAAAACTAATTTTCACATGGGAAAAGTATTCCAAAAAAAAAAAAAACTTAGGAGAGAACTCACAAAGAAGTTAACTTTTTAGTCTTTTAAACAGTTTTGCATGCTTTTTTTTTTTTTTTGCAAATACCATATTGTACTAATTACATACAGATGCAAAAACAATCAAATCCAGCAGATGGGAGCAACCTGAACCAATTCTTTTTGTTAGATTGCAAATTTACACCCACAGACGCAGCAGATAGAAGGAAGAGATTGTAGTGACAGACATAAATGTTTTACTTGATCAATATCTCAATAAAATAAGAGTGACATCTAGCTGAAGGAACGAACGGTGTTTCTGCGCGTTTTCTGTGTCTTTTGCCCAAGATCTGATTGTCTAAATGAAGTTCTTCAATTTGCATGAAAACCATTAATACCATCATTAATGCCGTTAATGATGGCATTAATGTTTGATTGTTTACATCCAAATGAGAGAGTGCAAAAATATTATTGTAAAATGAAATTATGCATCAAGAATCACTCCTCTGATATTTCACTGCCAGTGAAATGGGGGTTAAGCGTCCTGAGTGTTTTCCCTCCCCAGGCTTTACAGCATACCTGGCTCTGAACTCTGCTGAAGTCACCGGAACCGTTTGGATCCCAGCTATCTCTGTTTGGTCTGTGTGGGCTCCAGCTGCCGTGTGTCTGGCTGCTGCTTCTGCTGCCAGTATGGTCTAAGTGAATTTTTCTCAGCCACACTTCACTCCAGCCCATCTGCCAGGCTCTCGAGTAATTCATATTCACTCCCAAGAAACAAGGTGCAAAACTCCGTGGAGTTCCTCGGAAATCTTGGCCAGCCACAGCCTGCCTGGCTCTGCTTTGCACAACTACAACCTTCACTAATAAGCTTCTTGGATTATCTTGAAGAATCGCCATCAACAGCCAAGCTGAGATTTACAGTATGAAACTGTTCTACGCCTCTTAGTTATTTATTTAAATTTCCAAAACTAAGCCTTGATTGTTTAGTCAAGACAGACTTGTCCAGCTTAAAAAATATATATTTTTGATCAAACTTTTCTATAAGATTTTACTCAAAGATTGAATTAATTGACCCGAATCTGTCAAGTAAAATAAAAGTGCTAAATCTAAAAATTGTCCGTCAAACATAAATTCCATAAATTAATTCAAGCAAACAAAACAAAACTTTGTTCTCCACAAATTTCTGTAGTTCCTTTGTTAAACTTGCTATGGTGACTTTAATATTTAATGAAAAAGAATATTGCATGTAATCAGACGCTTGCATGTAAATGTTGCCATTTGTTGACAAAGTTGCAATAAAATAAGAATATCCAATTCCTTTCACAGGTTCAGCTGAAAGATATTTCTCTCAGCAATAGAGATTCTATCTAAAAACAACCAGAAATCTGACAAACATATTCTAAAAGAGGAGCAGATTGCTGCCAAAACACAAAAAGCAGAAAAGCAACCTGTCAAACAAAGAAGCTAAACACAACAGCAGCTCAGACTGAACATTAACGCATTGGATCTTTAATTAGAACTTGACAAATGCTTGTACGTTCCCGCAGCATGATCTATAAGAAGACTTTTTCTGATGGAGGACCCTCATAAAAACATTAATTAGAGCAATCAGCCACTCATATGAAAGAGTGTTTGTTTTGTTTCTTTTTTCGCTTTATAGTCTCACCAGTCGGAATTATTTAATCAACCTACTTTGGTCCTTTTGATACTTTCTCACCATTTAGACAGAAAATATAAAGGCCATTTTACCTCTTTTCTAAGTAATTAGTACTTTTTCATGAATATACAAAAATACTTGGGTAAGATGTTGTGGCTTTTGCAGTGTGTATGTGGTGGTGGAAGACTAACATGGCATTTCACTCTAACATAATCAACCTCAAGGGGGAACGTGTCGACGGTGCCAGCAGAACAGTGGCTGAGCAATGAGCAAAGAAGGACCTTTTCAATCTCTTCGCCACAGATTCAAATATGAGCTGATGTGAGCAGTTGTACCAGAGCTTCTTGTTCACGAGTCTCCAGCACGCCCCGTGGTACTTGTGCACATTTTTGCAGAGAGGAATAAGGGATGAGTACACCGCAAGGGTAATGAAGCCTCTTACTGAGCCGTAGGGAGAAACTCCATCTCTCCTCTGCCATCTATCACCACTCTGAATCCCACCTATGGAGTGAGCAGGCTGTGCCACATCCTATTCACCTCCAGTAGCATGATAAGCATGCAGGATAATGTACCGAACATGGATCATGTAAGACTTCAACTTCTGCCCTCCGTCACTTCAATGCCACACATGTCATTGTGGGGAGTTTTTTTCTGCTCACCAGGTGTGAAATTTACTTTTAGCTTCCTGACTGTTTTTTTTCTTCAGTCCTTTTAGGTGTAGATCTGCACCCTTGAGACTCCGGCTTTACAGAAACTCATTACTTCCTCTCTTGGAGCCAGGCCTTTAGCTATGCAGATGTGCCACAACAGCACTATGGGTCGAGTTTGTTAAGTATGTATTCAATAATTGGGCCAATAAACCTTGGCTTGGCCAATACTTTTCTCCGGAGTCAGAAGGGCAAAGCAATAGGTACTGTCACTGTTAAACAATTTCCATGGGTAGAAGTCACAAGAAATAAATCACATTTATTGGCTACAAATAAGTCATGATGTAAAGAAATTCAGCTGACTTTTTAATTATTTTCATTACTACAAATTAGCCTCCTACAGTTAAATATTTATTTCCTGAATATTTGTCAAATTTGTTTCCACAATTTTTCATTGTAGTTAAGGAAAGAAGATAATCATGACAAAACAAGTCTCAGCCTGACAGTTGAAAACGTAAAAATGTATAAATTATGAATTGCTAGAATAAAATAAAACAAAAAGGTGGGGAAAATAACTATGACAGACTCCAAATGAGAACACAGAGGGCTCTTGAGGCCCTGTGGCTCATTATGAGTGAAAGATGTCCTCAGGTTTCGACCAGGACAATCGGAACGGTCCATCCTTTGAGGGGACGCCACACAGAACCGTCAGCAATTTCACCCGACATCCCTGCTCTCCCCAGTGGCCTCAGAGGGATCTATGGCCCAGTAGCCACAAATCTAAACCTGCTCCACTGGGAGTGTGTGGTATTTCCATAAATAGACTCTGGAACCAAACTGGTACCTTTGCCTGGAGCAGCCCCCTCCCCATCAGCTCAGCTTCCTGAAATAGTAAAAACAACATGTTTTTTTTTTCTTATTTATCACCACTTTTCTTTTTTTCCAGCAAGGTGTTTTAAATAAAAATGAATCGAACTTATAAAGCATCTTAATATTTGAAAATATTCTTACATGCCAACTCTAAAAGCAGCAAACCACTGCAAAGTTTAAAATGTTTGCAAAATGCAATGATTATCAAATCACCAAGCAATACTATAATTCCAACAGCAAAACAAAAAAGCATTCTTGAAATAAAGCTTGATGTGAACTGCACATACTTTCATGTTACCAAATATTCCACAATCAATAGTTGTATTATAAGTTAAAACAGTTGGATTCTGAGTTACATATAGTACAGAGAACTTTGTGCAGATGCAAGATAGTTTAAGGATGTCACGTTCAGTCCTTAAGGACATGTCGAGTGAGTTTGTTGTGAAAAAACTTGACTGGGCAACCTAAAGTCCCAACCTCAGCACAGTACCTTTGGCAGCTCAACCTTCTCATCCAACATCAGTGTCTGACCTCACAAATGTGCTTATGGAAGAATGGTGATAAAATACACATAATCACATAATTCTTCTTCCCAGATGAGATGAAGGTGGTTTAGCATTGAGAGATTGGACTATATCAAGATGATCCCAAACAATTAAGAATGGGACGTTACGCCAGTCCCTCTGTGTATGAAGGCAGATGAGCAAATTCTCTTTGAATCAAAGTGTAAATTGATAGAAATCCTGGACATGTGCTTTTTGTTTACAGTTTAGCTTGTGAATTACTACGTTGTTTTCTTTTATTTATTCCCACACACATCTCATCTCTTTGCATCTGGTCTGGTCTGCTTCTGGTCACATTTCACTTAAAATGTGTGCACAACAAAAGTTGAGCTGCTTTAGGTTTTCTGCAGCATAGCCTTTTTTTGTTTGTATATTTGATAAAGCGTCATTTTTTTTTCTAAATTTGTTAGCCTCTTTTCCAAAGCGATCTCCTGGGCCCTTTAATTAGAAACCGTGGCTGCATGCATCGTTCAGAATTACTGCTCCCTATCCACAGATGTGCAAGTTGGCTGTCCGATCCACACAGATACCTCTTAAATCAGCACAGATGTTGGCTTTAAAGCTCAGCCGGCTGAGGCTCCTAAGTTTCTTAAGATTGAATCCATCTGAAATGAGCCTTGTGGCAGACAATATGCATTTCTGAAATCTGTTTCCATCATAAAATATTTTCTGGTTTTTATGTCACAGCTTCAAGTCTTTGCGGGTAAGTTTTTGAGAACTAAATGTTCTCAAAACTTAAATTGTTATTTCAGATTATTTTATAATGTCTAATTATTTGAGTTGAAGCTGAATTTAAAAGTCTTATTTTGATGTTTTGAAATCATATTTCTTCTCATTGTGGCCATAAAAACCTTTCTCTACAAGGCCTTTGACTTGCTCATGTGGGTAGCTGCAGACGTTAGTGGAGCTTGAAAGGTGTTGATTAGGAGCATCAACTGTGTCAATTTTAATGTTGAACCCGCTTCGCTTTTGACACAAACGCTGACATCAAGTTTTTCATTGAGGCTTGCTGGTTTCCCAGAGCTAAGCAATTTACATTCTGTGATAGTTTGAGTCAGATGGAGGAGACGTGAACATATTTATGGGCATCAGAGGAATAATGATCCAGAATTTGCATCAAAGCTTACTTTGGAGGGGAATAATAACAACCCCCCCCCAAAAAAAAAAACTAGCATTAGGCCTCTGCAATACATAATTACAAATCCAATAGAACTGGTTGGTAGATCAAAAATGACAAACATGGAGAATATTAAAGATTATAGACCAAATGAAGCTCTCACATTCAAACATTTTTTTTTCCAGGCACCCTGCCTCTCCTCAGAGTAACAAACTGCATATAGAGCCAGCACCATAAATACTAATAATGCTTCTGATTATAATAATTATGATAATTAATCTAGCTATTCATAAATGAGTGGATGCCGAAGTGCATCCCTCCAGAACACGCCAATTATTGTTGGACAATTTGATTCACTCTATGCTAAGTAAATGTCAGAGTCAAAGCATCTTTTTGTTTCTTCTAAATTAGGGACCAAACAGTAGAAACTTCTAAAGGCAACCAATCAAAAGCCCCCTGTAGTACCATGTTTCGATTGGCTAATATCTGTCACCCCGGGGTAAGACACAACACTCTTCCTAATTGCTCCAGATCTGTGTTTCATCCTGCTCTCAGCTACTCTTAAGGGGGCCGTGTGTTTGACTGAGGAAGGGTAGAAAAACGTTTTAATGATGTGGGACTGTTTGGCCGGCGCTCGTGCACGATGGAGTCAATATGCCAAATCAAAATAAGGCTGTGGGGCAGATCGGGAAACAGGATTGAAATTGTGTAACTCTTCTCAGAGATGGTACAGCTAAAGGCTGCTGTTACTGGGCAACGCATTAATCGTGACTTTATTATTATTTTTTTTTTCATTTCAAAGTAACCTTGAAAGTTATTTGTTTTTACATACTTTCCTTTTTTTTTTAATCATTCTTTGCTCCATGTTTCAGCTGCTTTCTTCACCAAAAGATTTATTTAAAGCCGCTGTTTATATCAAAGACTGAACAGAATCTAAAAAAGGGTTGAAACGGCATCCAGGGGGCAACTTACCACGCTGACTTTGACCGCGTAGAGCAGGTCAAAAGGCAGTGCGGCCACTAGGTCGATGATGAACCACGTCGTCAGGTAATGGATGCATATCTGTCGAGCGTCAAAGATTACCTGGCCGGACTTGCTGACGAAAGTGGTGCGAAAATTAAAAATAATGTCTGGTGTTAAAAAACAAAGAAAGTAGAGTTTGGTTAAACTAAAAGCTGCACCCTGGGTCATCAACGCAAGTAGTAAAGCGGCTGGTAATCTGCAACTAACCTATGATGAAGAGAATCTCCACACCGATGTCGCTGACAGTGGTGCTGCGGGTCAGATCATCATCGTCGCCGATGAAGCACACGTTGTAGGGCACTGTCACAGCAACGTAGAAGGTAGCAAGCAAAATCAGCCAGTCCCAGCCTGCTTTAAATGTGCTGTAGTGAAGCAATATGAATTTGGACTTCTTGGCATCTGCAACCTTGTATTCTGGTAGAGCCGGTGGATCCCCAAACACATTCTGGACAAAACCAGAAAAAAAAAAAAAAAAAAAAGAAAAAAGTTACCTAGTGTTCAGTTGCTGAAAAAACTACAAAATACTGCATGCAATAATGTTCTATACTCCTTAATGACATACTACAACAGCACACACTGAGTTCAGTATTTGAATTGGCACTGGCTATTGGGTATTAAAACAATAATGTAAAAATAACCCTTGAGGTTCCTAAAGGAAGTTTCTGAGCTGTATGCACAAGTGACAAACAGTTGCATGTCTTGTCTGCAGCCAAAAAACACAACAAAACAGAATTTTAATTGGAAAAATTAAGAAATGCAGCCCATTCAAAAGTCAATCTTTACCATCCAACATCTCAAACTTATAACTTTCCCCCCTTACTTTGGATGAGCTCATTGTTTACATGGTAACTATTTTCTATGTGTTTTTTGTGATTCACTCTTACTCCTGTAGGTATTTTTTCTTCTGTCCACATAATCAAATAGACTTGTAGGCACAGAATTTCTGGGATAAAATTTGAGTGTATAAAAACAGAGCACCTCTCTGAGCAGCAACTCCAGATTCTCATTGTAAAATCAGCTGTTTTATACCCATTGGATACATAATACTTATGCTAGTTTTACATAGCCTTGTTGGACTTCCAATAAGCTGTGACTGGTGTCATTTCAAATTCTCCCCTTCACTGTCCGATTTTCTAATAGAGCTAATACAGCCTTAGTACATAGTATTTGTTCAAAAGCTGCACGCCAAGTCATCAATGTTTAGTTGCTTCTCAATAGGCCCTGTGTTCGCTTGACACCGCATCAAACCTTCTCCTTGACTCTCCAGCTTAAAGTCCTTATTGTCCCCTTTGCAAAACACTTCAAGGAAAGGATAAGTTGTATTTTTCTCTTCTGTGCTGATTTTGTGGTGAGGAGGTCAGAAGTCAGAGCCTCAATTTTCAACAGGAAGACCAAGACAACAGGATCCCTTCACTGAGTTTGTCTTTGCGAAGACTCCATACTTTATTTGCGTTTTCTCATCGATGCTGCACAACATACGTTTTCAAACTGCTGCTGTCAGTTTTTCTTTTTTTTTTTCAGTAAACTCCACAGCAGATGGTCTATGATGTCACACTCCAGTTTGAGAAAAGGCTAGATGTAGGTTGTAAAACCATTCCAATAGCCAATTGTTGGCTTGCTAGCCATTAGTCTGGGTCATAGAACAGTGAAGATAAGGACCCAAATGCACAGAGGATGGAGGTGGTTGAAAAACCCCCAACAATTTACTGAATGATTAGAAAAATGTATAAAAATCAATGTCCAGGTGAAAAACCCACCAGGTTCTTGCACCATACCAGAGGTAACAGTGAGAATTGACTAACTGAGACATGTTTAACCTGGAGAGTTGATTATTCAACAAGAAGCAGGCGGCTGATTAGAAACAGGGTGCAGCTGTGACAGAAAGAAGGAGCTGAAGCTGAACGGAGGAAACGGGATAAACAAGGAAACAGAAATCAGAAAGGTAAACAAACAGATGCAACCCAACATCAGAAATAATCAAGATCCAAATCAAAAAGGTGGTAAGAAAGCACAGCAGCAATGGGGACACAACTTTTCAGCAACTGAGGTGACACACAGAACTATGACTAAAGTCTGCCATTATTACGTTTATGTGTTGTGCATTTAAACATTACAGCAGCATGTTAAAAACAGGTTTTACAATCATCTGTGCTGTGGTTTAGTGAAAGTGCTACCTAATTCACACAATCCTGTTTACCTGTTTAAAGGGGAAGACAGGCAAGTTTAAGAGCAATGGTATTCTGTGGTTATTTTTAATGAGGCACTAATGCTCGCATTACAGTCCAAACTGTTCAGCTGCAGTTTGTGGAAGCGCTAACATTCAGACATCCCACCTGTCTGCCCTTGATTTTGTCATCGGCGCTTCAACAACACCGTCAGCGCTCCCCTTTCTCCACACGGTGACCCTCACCCTTGTTTGAAAGGCCTTTTCCCACCCCGCTCTGCTGTTTGCACAACGTGACGATACCTTGTTGATTTTAATCTTGCTCTTCTCCCTGCTGTGGAGATGTCCAGAGATGTGGTAGAGCACGGTGCTGCCCCGCAGACGAGTCGAGCTGAATGAAGAGCCGGTTTTCACCCTGCCGCGTCGTCGCTCTGTAAACACACACACACAAAATGTTGGTGCTACACACCCATCTGCAACAACATCTACCCCCCAAGGTTAACTCTTGATGATTGAATCAGTCATTACGCTTGATGAAAAACACATAATATTCTGTCCTAAATAGGAAAACATGAATATTCAAAAGGAGAATAAGTAGTTTGTTTATACCTACAAAAACAAAAATGTGTTAGAGATGTCACCTTTGTACAGCCAAAAGCATATTAAATTTTAGTAACATAGCATTGGCCAATAATGCTCTGCCAACTCAGTTTTCTGCTTTCAGGAAAAAGGTATTTATGTATATTATGTTGTATTTACTGCGAGTAATTATAGCGATGTGAGCTGGCAATCATGCCCCTGTGCGCCTTTCTTTTTAGTTGTACTGCAGTAGGAGATTGTCAGATTGTGCAGGAGCGATGAGTTTGGTCAGAGGACCGGGGTAATCACAGAAATCACATCACTGCCACTCGATCCAGCCCCGCTTCTTCACTGATGTGAGCCAACAGGAAGGGACTGAGGCCAGATTGGTTTGAGAAACTGGTCTTTTAGACAATGACATCGCCAAAGATCAAAAGTCAAAACCGCTTGCGAGCGTTCCCTTTGGAAAGTCTGTGCACCCCCTGTGTGCTTCGTTTGGACCCCAGACAAGACGAGCGGACAGGGGCCCATCCGTGGCACGGTGCAGCTCTGGGGGCCACACAGCTACAGGAGCACCGAGACTGAGATGCACTTATTTTTAGATCTAATGAAATTCCCGACACTCCTATTGCCTTTCGTGGGGAGGGAGTAGTGGAGAGGAGTAAGTGTTGTGTACGAGGGGGCAAATACATGTAAGAGTAGAAAGCTGAGGCGAGAATGGACAGTTTCTGGTAAAAACAGCTGGAAGAGATGAGAAGTAGCGGTGATGGAGGAACAAGGAAGTGGGGGGAGAAACAAAGCTGTGATGGAGGCAGCTAACAGTGAAAATGTATGATAGAAAGCCAATCAGGCTGGTAGAGCAAATGTCTGCTGAGTGCAAAGATTCGGTTTCCTTCTTTCTTCTGGTTGATGCCCCAAGAGATAGCTAAGTGGGTCACGTGTAAGGTGTCCCCAGCTTGGGTGGAAATGCCCTTCTAATGTCAATTTTGTGATATGCATCAGCTGAGGTCCCCGTCCGACGTTGAAAGATGTAAAACGGCAATCAACCTGAATGATAAAAAAATAGTGAACGCCAGGCATCAGACTAAAGTTCATTGATCACTATAATGTCTGCATGACATCACTAGACAAGCTCAAAAAATTCAAACAAATTATAGTGAGGTGAGTCATGTGGAAAAAGTAGGACGCCCCAAGACAATTTTTTTCAACATATTCTGGCATATCAAGTTTAACAATATGGAAGAATTTGAGCAATGTAAGCAAAAACATGCAAATCTGCAGAAGGCACTGTTCAATTTCTCTGTACAAATCTACCTGTGGTGCTGAATATTAAGCATCCACCTTCCAGCAACTAGGATTTAAATCGGTATCAAAGAAATCGTAGTTCTGTCATTTCAGTTTAAGGAAAGCAGTTTGCAAGTGGAGGAGATAGAAAAATGACTGCCAGCATCAGTAAAGTTCACACAGAGAGCAGACGATAAGCTGCTAAAGTTTTAAAAGCATGTGCCTATTCAATCAGAATAAGATTGCACAAGAATCACTCTCATTAAAGGTGTGCAATAGGAAATCTTGGCTCTCCAAGAAAAACATGAAAGCCTGAACAAATTTAGGATATCTTAAACCTTGCAAAATAAGTCTGGTTTACAACAAACTGCAACAGGCTGCTTGAAGGGCTCTAATTTCTTCCTTTCTTTCTTTTCTTTTACAGTTCCGTGTCTTAAAATTTTGACATTTTTTGCTCAAGTGTGTCACCCAGTGGTTTTGTAAGATTTGATACAAGACGTCAGACTGTCTAAACCAAAAATCTTCAGCACACCTGAATGTTGGCTGTTAGAGGCCAGCAGTTAGAGTAGGACAATCAAAAGAAAAAAAATGGTAAGGAGCAGCTAAGATCTTAAAAGAAGTAACCTGAAAAACGACCACATGTACAAATATGTCGAGCATAAAACAAGTCTCTGAAGGACTTTGCTTATACAAACTATTCATGTATGCCATAAAGTGCATATAAATTGCACATGTGAGAAAAGTTACACCAGTCATCTAGCTACACATCTCCACTTCAGTGATAAATATTAATATAGAAAATAACCTTATTATTCATCCATTTTCTTACAACCTATTGGAGTCGGGAGGGTTACTGGTGCCTCTCTGTTAACAGGTCCCCAGTCCATCGCAGGGCAACACAGAGGCAGACAGGACAAACAACCATGTATGCACACATGTTTTTGGACAGTGGGAGGAAGCCGGAGTACCCAGAGAGAACCCACGCATGCACAGGGAGAACATGCAAACTCCATGCAGAAAGATTCCGGATCGGGAATTGAACTCAGGACCTTCTTGCTTCAAAGCAGCAGTACTACCAACTGCGCCAACTGTGCATAGCCTTATTAACAACCTTACTCATCTTGATCATCAAAATGCATTATGTTACTTTAGCACCAAACGATGAAGTAACATAATGAAAAACAGCAATGAACATATATGTGGAACCTAGTTTATGTCTACCTTCTTTCTTGTCCTCTTGAATGGCTTTGGCTTTAGTGTCGGTGATGTCCTTAAATGAGGCCAGGAACAGCACCACGTCACCCTTCTCATTCTTAATGGGCACAATGTCCAGGAGACACCAGAACAGAGCAGCTGAAATGGAAGAACGTCCTTGTTAACACTAATAAACACCATCTCTGGTTACTTTCTGAATGGATCTACAGCATGAGTGTGTGTGTGTGTTTGTGTGTGTCTAAACTGTATGTGTGTGGGTGTGTGTGTGTGTACACAAAGCAACAGTTCTATACATTCTTGGACGTACTAATGAGTCTGTCTACAGCTGGAAGTCGCCAGAGAGAGGCTGAGCCTTTAAATAGCCCGAGCCAGAGTTCCCCAGACACAACAGAAGATAAAACTATCTCCCAGGTCCCATTCTTGTTGAATCGATTGCTTTTTTTTTTTTTTTTAGTGCTTCGGTAGAAGCTTTGAAAGATTAGTGCTGAATATTTTATGAGGTAGAAACTCATTTTGGCCAAATACACACAGGAAGTTGACTTAGATTATATAATTACAGCTAAAAAATGCATGTTTTCCAAACAGAGAAAACCTACAAAGTAAATAGTGGAGTTTTCTTGTTCCCTACATGTCACAGTCAACTACAAGTGTGTTATTTGTTATTGTTTGTTACTTATTGTAGTCATCAGGCTCTGTCCACACTAGTGTATTCCTTGCGTTCAGTTTCTTATTTAATTTTGCTTTCCTATGCATTTTGGATTATTTTCTGAGGTTAGTCTCAGCCGTTTCCCTCTCACCTTGTCATTCAGTTTGTGTTTTGGTTCAGCTCCCTCAGTCTTCCCTGTGTTTCTTAGTCTCCTTTCAGTTCCCTTGCTCATGGTGCACTAGGCTTTTTTATTGCCTGTTGTTTTGACAGTCAGTCTATTTTTACCAGTCAATTTTTCAAATTATCTCAGTGACATACTCAATAGTATTTAATATCCATCCATCCATCCATCCATCCATCCATCCATCCATCCATCCATCCATCCATCCATCCATCCATCCATCCATCCATCCATCCATCCATCCATCCATCCATCCATCCATCCATCCATCCATCCATCCATCAATTAATATTCAACCCAAGCAAGCAGATAGAAAATCCACAATGTACCATTCACGTTTCGATTACTTTCTGTGAGGTGGAATGCTTGATTTCTAATTACTAGGGAATTTCTTTCAAAATGTTGAGTAACAATGTTGTCATTATGTGGATGTGATGTGGTAGACCTTTGTGTGAAAAAGTAACTGATACTTTCAGTCGTCATAAAATTTTGTACATATCAAACATGATATGAAAATAGTTTGACTTCGCCTTGACAAACTGAAATTGGCTCCTGTCTCTTTAAGAAGTCCCTACGCCTTCTGACACTCCGCCTTCAACACATCTTCACAACATAGCCTTTCCATGATGCCGTTTGCAACTTCTTAGGAGTGTCGGACTGAGAAGTAGATCCTGTAAAAAGCTCAGAAGACTTGCAGTCCCACTAGATGTTTGCTAATTGCTGCTGGCTAGTCTAGAGGAGCTGAGTGGGGAGGCACGGGGCCGGAGTGATTTTTCAGGCAGAAAAGCAGCTTGGAGACTGCAGCTCCAATGAGGAGCTTTGTGGAAATTTGTGAGACCTCGCATTTAGGCAACCCGGAATGGTTGCCATGGGAGATCCAAGGATTTCTCGAACAAGCATGAAAGAATCAAAGCAACTCTCCAGGTCTGCTTTTCATGAAGTAGCAGCATTATAACATAAACCACAAAGGCTTTCATTGAGGGGCCCTATGATTTTACATGACACTGCATTTCCACAGGAACCTGCATTAATTCTCTCATTCTGGAAGCTGAAATGAATTCCTGATCAAGAGGGATTTCCTACGGAGTCTCCTCTCATTACTCCCACTCATGAAAATCTCCTTGCAAGGCGATAATCACAGTGTTTTGGTCTTTGCGTGTGTTGATGTGAGCGGGAAAGTCTGCGTGTCTGTGAGGGGCGGCGGCACGATCAAGCACACAGCACGAGAAGGAGCTTCCCTGATTGCGAACACGCCGCGCTCCCTTTTCTTAGGCCTGCAGACAGACAGATGGAGGACAAACTGATTCAATCAGCCTCGTTTGCTTTCGGGACTCTGCTGTGGCTGATGAAAAAAGAAGGGGATGCTGAAACAAAAGAGCAGTGCAAGGGATGAGAGCCAGAGTAGTGGGAGGCAGACAGACGAATCGGCAGAACCATGTGGAGGTGCGAAACATACGAGAAAGAGAAAGAGGGAAAAAAAAAAACAGAGTGATGCATCAGTAACTGAAAGGAGATCTTCTGTGATGGTAATAGCTAAGCTGTGTGTGTCTGTGTCTGTAAACAACACCGAGCTACCAGCTAAATTTAATTTAAAAGGTAATCAAGTAAATGCACAGAAAAGCAGTAAATCAGAGCCACGCATTTAGTACAATCAGCATAGAATGAGCCATTTTACGATACCACATGGCATCGTTAACAGACTTTACAGCAGCTGTCTTGGACCTGCACTTTCCCTGAGGTGCAAAAATAACATTAAACACAGCAATAAAAAAACAAATCTCCAGTTAATGTGACATTTTTCATGAATATTTGTGTTTTCTTGGAAACGTATTGTTTTGCCGGGCTCCAGGTCGACCCTTCATATGTCTGTGCTCCCGATTCATGTCCTCATATTGGCATTTTGTCAATATGAGGACATGCCTCATATTGACATGCCTCGCAACAAACCAATGTAAATCATTTGTGTGTACTTAGCTCATTGTCTAATTTTGTAATCAAGTATTTCTATAGTGGTTAACATTCATGAAATGCTTAAAATATTCCACAAAATGAAATTTAGTTGCATGGTATTTTCTGAAAACATAATGCAGTGTTTCCACTGAATGTGGCTTTGAGTCTCTGATTCTTTAGATCCCAAATCAGAAACAAAAAACAACTTTAGGCAACTTCCTAGGTATTATGTATTGGAGTCTTTACACCACATTTTTGCATAGTAGAATTGAATTACGATTACAGATCAAATTTTAATAAATGTAATTATTTTTAACCTGAGGCAGATATCAAACTAGCACAGAGTTGGTACAGAAAGCCCCATGATGTTTCAAGTGTGATGGATCCAGAATTACAGAGGTATGAAATAACAAAGGTGCAAAGAGACCAACATCATTTTCTTGTTGGGTTAGTTATTACTGTTTCATCTAGAACGAGCCCCATAAAGTCATTCCTCCACCAATTTGCACCACAAAATCAGTGCATCAAATCAGCTTATTTCTCTTTTTAAAAATAAAGGGTGAGAAAAATATGGAGAAAACCAAATCTAAAAAAGTTTAAGACGTGAAAAAGAACAGAAATGATGGATCCAGAATTAGGTCTGGATCTGCTGCTGCTTAGTAAACTTTCTTCCACAAAGTTAACTATGTTACTTTTATTTCAATAGTATTATTTGATCACATTCTTAGTTTTTTTATTTCTTTATTGGTTAACTAAAGCGCTTCCTTTTGATTAACAAGTTTATTATAGTTGTGTTTTCTCTAATTGTGTTGCTTCTCCATTGTTACTCTGTTTGGCAAATTGTTCAGTAAATTACAATATTTTAACTGCTGGGTGTTTTTGTCTCATTTGAAATTGCTGTCTTGTTTTTCTTTGTTTGTTTGTTTTTTGACTTGTTGCATTTCATTAATATTGTGCTTTGTTCAGCATCAGCACAGTAAGTCATTTTCCAGCTACATGTCAAAGGAGCTTAGCAATGTCTGAGTGTAAAACTCCTACATCATTTAGTGGATACATTTTCTTATTTTATTTATTTTTATACTCTTATTTAAAATTTTTGGTGGGTTCTTTTTCTATTTTATTGTGCTCTGATTTATTTAGTTATTTGTTTATTCTTTGTAGTCAGGAGAACTCAAGGGACATTTTTTTAAAGAAATGATTATGAACAATTAAAGCACATTATTAGACCCCTGTATATGTATGTTATGCAATGTGCATACATATTTTTGTTTGTCTGAGGACATAGAGAATCCAAGACCTTTTTAAAATAACTCCGACACTGAAGTGGCATTTGCTAAGAAGTGATTTCAAATTTATGTCAAAACTCTGGAACATAAACTCATGAAAACCTCACTCTTTATATAATAGTTCCCATTTCATCTCATCACTATTTTCACTGGTGCACAGATCTGATTCCAGTTTGGAAAAAATAAAAATAAAAAATAATAAAAACCTTTAAATAAAGATGTCAGACCATTTGGTACCATATTAAATTTCAACAAATAAAACATGTGCTGAAGACTTAATATGCTCAATATTTTTCATCTTGTCACCGCCTTATCAGAAAGGCAACACGACACCACAGCTGGAAGGGCTGAATGTGACGGATGGAGACGAGGCCGAGCAGTCAGGACTTGGCAGCTGTTAATATTTTAACGCTGGACCATAAGTGGCGCATTTCTAACCTACGACATTGATTTATCGCTGCTAAATGGGCACAGATCAATAAAAGACATTTAATGTCCGTTTCCGTCTTTATTATTTCATTCATCCATCAATCAATTTCTCGGCCCAAATGAAGTTTCCTCAGCTAATGACAAAGTAACACATTAATGGAAACATAAAAAGATAAAGTCCCACATTAAAGCCATTGTATGGATTATCTCTTATAAATCTCAAAGCTTGTCAAATGACCTTGGTTTAATCTCCCGTTTGATGGATGGCAGAGGAATGCAGCAGTTATGCACCGTGCCTTTAAGTATTTATACACAACCTGTGACTATGTATGTTAGAATTATTAGGTAATCTTTCTTTCATTAGTAGTATTGTATTACTAGTTGTTTTTCATTTAAAGGTTTATTGCTCTCGCCCCAGAGAGGAGGAATTTGTTGAACTGTGTGTTTTTTTTTGCAGGTGGTGTCTTAATCTTCTTTAGGAGATCTTCCTGAGATGCTTCTTAGTTGCAAAACTGTCTGTGTGCAGAATTTAGTTTCCTGAGCTGGGCTGAACAGGTAAGCGACGTTGGCTGTGGTTCTTTTCATGTGGGTCGAGAAAAGACCCATCAATGTATTTCAGAAACCCAGAGAAGGAAAAATGGCCAGAAGGAAACCAGTATTGAAAGAAATCCAGAAGAAGAGAGCCTGATAAAATACAATGTCAGAGTTTGTGCTTATAACGTCCCAAACTATAAAAATGTTCTAAGACTGTGAACACATTTCCAAGGCATTGCATCTGTAAACATGAGACAAAATGAAAACGGAAGGAATAAAATAAAATAAAAAAACATGAAACAAAAATACCTGTCTTTGTGTAGAACATGATTTCATTTTTGAACTCCTTGCGCTCCTCCAAGGCCTCGTCGATGCTCAGGATGATGCTTTCGCTGGTCTCGGGCCCGTACAGGAACTTACAGGTACAGCTCTTCTGCATGACCTCTGTCCGAGAAAAGCCTGTGAGTTCACAGAAGCCATCAGAGCAGTAGACGATGGGAAAGCCCTTCGACATCTGAGCATTGGCCAGGATGAAGTTACTGTCTGCAGAGAAACGAGAGGAAATGGAAAGTGAGCAAAAGCTTTTCTGGTCAGTGGGGACTTTAGTTAATTACTCTAACACTGTAAGTGGTGTAGTACAAGGCAAAAAAAGCACACTCTCTGTTTACTTCATTTTTTAACAAACAATCAAACAATAGAATCTTTTTGTTTGTTTGTTTTTTACCACAACTGTAGGAGTTTGTCTCCAACAGTGATGTTCCTATGAGGCTAAAGCGTCTGACTTGGAGCATATCAAAATTGGATAAAAACAGAATCAACAATAAGGAACGCATAAGAAATCTTAGAGCCAAACAATTTTTTTACAGTAGGTTTTAAACATGTTTATGTCAGCCATAATTTTTGACATTTGAGTGCTGAAGAGGACAACATTTGAGCACAGTGTCTGTGGGGACTGATGAAATTTTACGGCCACCATTAAGCTGCCGTTCTAAAAGCTGTTATTTTTTCACTCTTTTGTTGAGCCTGGAAGTTGGGACCGAATTTGGCTTTCAGCAGAAGTTTTCCAAAAACGCATGACTATGGCTTGAAATGACGTTTAAGGATGGAATAAAAGAAAGAAAGAAAAAAGCAGAATTTGCAAGGGGATTTTCTTTGTGGGGGTTTTATTGTTTGAACTCAATGTGAAAGTCAAAAATGCAACTGTGGGGATTTTTCAGCTACAACAGAATAGGAGCTCCATGCATAAACTGAATACTAACCAGCATGTCTTTAGACAACGAAGCTGTGGTTTTGAGACATGCGTGTTTAAACCTTACAGTTCCCCTCACCCCAACACCAGCTTTAAAAACTTCAATAATGGAAACTAATGCAACTGGTCAAGTGGCGCCTCTCCAGCTCTGTGAAAGAGTTGCTCTCAGTGGACACAGGACTGATGATGTGTCTTTTAACACAGCGATCCGCAGCATGATGGGATCTTCAGGTCAGGCACATGAAGGCCTGGTGTGGGTTGGATGAATAGAGGTCATGTGGTTCGGTGAGCTTCCCATTTAACTGCACACTGGAGAGCAACAGAGCCCGACACTTTACACTCAGCTACATTTTGTTTGTTGCATTTAATGATATAGTTTAAAAAAAAAACTTATTCAGAATGAAGGTGAAGATTTGGGAAGTTCTGAACTGACGACGAAAAGAAAAAAGAAAAAAAACCTCACGCAGGTTGACGTTTATCATGGTTAATTAGCCAATTGAGTCTCATTCTGGACAGCCAGTCAAAGCTAAGCAGCTGTTTATACCTGAATATCTACGATGGCACACAGACCTGCTATACTAACATTCACTCACGGTGCCACAAGGCTGAGCTGTGCTGATAGACAGCTGATACATCCGGCACAATACTCATTACACATGGCAGTGGACAATGAAGGTTTGACAGATTGTGAAAAAGTGTATGCTTGTGGATTTGAGTGTTTCCTGCTGCCACTTGATGAGCAGCTGAACAGCGAACGCTGGCCAGTATAATGTACATATGCACTAGAACGTTTGGCACAGTAATTGGACAACAAATACATTTTCAGACGTTTGCGTAATTACAGTAAACTAATGAGTCACGCACACATTTCCAGACGTTCACACACGCAAACATGAGCAGTGCTATGAGACATCCAGCAAGACGGCATCGATGTAGAAAAATTAATTTTTTACTTCGATAACTCACTTTTTGAGCAACCTGGTTGTCTAAATTGCTTTATGTCACAAGTCAAGCTTTGCTGAGTAAAAGCCGCCTTCGGTTTTAACTACAAATAGAAAATCAGAGAGTACAAGATTGTGCGTCCGGTTCTCAAGAGGAATCAGATGCTTGTTTTACATTCTGTAGGAAGCATTTAACTTTTTATGCGATTTGTTGAAACTAAACTCCATAACTCTTGCTTTAATTGAATTTTTGGAAAGCTTGTCATAATATTTTAAGATACACTCAGCTTACACTGTAGCTCAATCCATTCTATGACACACCCAGATATGTCATAGAAGAGATGACACTGTGATGGGACAACCCGGACAACTGTAGGTCTCTGTTTAGGGACCGACTGTCAGGGGCCACTGAGGCTCTGGTTAAAGAAAGACTGAGGCAACTGTGTTCCTGACAAAGGCCTAAAGCACTTCTGGTAGCAACTCGGAGAGCAAAGGACAACGGTGCTAACAGAAACCTAACGTTTACAAAGACATATAACTAGCAAAATATTTATATTACAGGGGTTACGCAGCTGACATACTGTGTATAGTAAGTGTTTTCCTGGAGGCAAGAGAGACTCAAACTGATGCCACAGCTAGGAATGGGAAATGCTAGGATTTCAGCCATATCAATTCCATTATCAGTATCTGATTCCTTATCGATTCTCATTGAAATGGGGCATAATCTCCATATTTCTCAGGCGGTCCACTCCCAACTTCAATCATATTCAATAAATTAGAATTTTAATGAAATATTTATGAGTTTCAGTAACTCGACTCACATAATTCCACACGGATTGATGTTTTAAAGCTTTGTAAATGATAATGAATGTTTGCTTACAGCTAATTAAAACATATTTAAGACCAGAGTATTACATCAAACCAATGAAAAAAATGCATATTCTTAATGGAGAAAAGTGGGTCGAATGAAAAATATGTTTAAGTTTCTAAAAGTTTTAATCTGATGAACGAACCAGAACCCTTTTTTTTTTTTTTTTTGGTTTATTGAATATGACTGCAAATCTTAACATGAGATAGAGATTATTCACATTAACATGGTGCTAGTTTTACCTGGAGGAGGACCGAAGGAGTTTACCTGGGGGGGCTTATGGCGGAAGACAATAATATGCTCGAAGACTTTATATTCACACAAATCTGTTTGAGGGTGTTGGAGGAATTTTCTCCTTTTATTGGGATTGAAGCTCTGCAACTGAGAAGTTTATTTTTTGGTTTTTGGTTCTTTTTTTGTAACTTTTGAGAGCTTCCAGACCATGGAACGTCATTTTTCTCTTTTTCCTTGACTGAATATACAGGGGTTTACAAAACAGCAAAATTAACAACACAAATAAGTAACAAAACAGACAGGACAATAATGTCAGACGTTATTGGACCCGACAAGTGGAATCGTTTGGCAGGCAGGTTCTGCTACCCGGTTCTGGATTCCTGCTACCCGGTTCTGGATTCCCATCCTTAACCCAACAGACCCAAAAGATGAATGAAAACCCTGCAAACCCGCTTCTTCCTAAACATCCACTTAAATTGCTGTGACAGTAAAAATATCACTGTGGCCAAAAATGGTGCGCTTACACAACTCTCATTCAATAACTGATGAAACTAACAAGGCCACCATGAAAAACATACACAAAACTACGTAACTACCAGCATTATTAAATTACTATCTACATACTTTTTGCGCTCTTTCCTCCTCCACTAGTGTCCACACTATGATAAAGTGGATATTAGGACCTACTTCAGTTACAAACCTCTGTGGTCAAGATGGTGACAGATATTAATATGCTACTCTGTCATTTTTTAGTGGTTCTGCAAAGTTAATTGGACAAACAACTAGAATAAGCAATATGTTGTTGTACAAACTGCATTCCACACTGGTTCAGTTATCAAAATAATTTACTGATGCTGTCTATGCCCTGATTAAGAGGTTTGTGCTAATTTTAATTTAAATATTATTCATTTTTTGGGGGGAAGAGTGTCTGTATCCTTTGTTTGCACTTCTGAATTCCTTTAAATGCACTCTCAGCATCTACTGCAAATAATGGCACATAACCTGTGTTAACCTTTATTCATGGGTCGCAATATATTCTCACTATCTTCTCCTCCTTACCCATTGCTGTCCTAGATTCTCTTTCTACTTCCCTCTCTTCCTTCTTACCCCAACAGAAACACATCCCGCTACTCCACACATCTCTGTTTTCTCCCTTGTGCTCCCCCATATATCCTCCTTTTCTCAGTCTCAGCAACTTTTCAAACCTTTCACCTGTCTTCAGCCTTCCCTTCCTCCCATCCACCATTTTGAAACTCTGCACCTAATTTCTCTTCCTCTTCTTCAAGCCTTGGATTTCCACCAGACTCCATTTGTTTGCTTCCCTCCCTGCTTGCGTTCACCTTCTTCCCCACAACCCACCTCCATAAAAACATCATCTGTCTGTGTTTGCGCTCTCCCACCCGTGCCAATTTAGACTCACAATCTTTGGCAGAGACTTTTGCTTTCATTCAGTTTGTCTTCAAGTTCTGCAGTTCAGTGACCATTTTCTTCTGTTTCTCCCTGTCTTTCTTCCATTCAGATTTTCCTTTTGGTTTACTGGCTACAGTAGCAGCCCGTAGATCATCTCAACATGTGCTCACACTGCTGCCAGACAGCTGCTCAAGTAATCTGACAGGTACACAGAGAAAGGGAGGAGATGAATTGGGAACGCAGGCAGGAAAAATACTGTGATTCTGGACAAAATATTTGAAGAGCAAAGGAGATTTTACACAATTTAATGTTTGAACGGAAGACAGCTTTGTGAAAATGCTCAAATGTTTGACAGGAAAAACACCTGAGGGTGTTTTCATCTTAAAGAACGATATGAATCTTTATCCTGAGGAGCTCAGGCGCTGAACTTTTTTCTTTTACTTCATTATTATGAACCCACAGTATGGCCAGTCAGTAATATGTCTGTTTTCAATATTTAAAATCTATGCCTGCTGATTTAGAGAACTTAATTAACCTAAGCCGGAGTACCAGGGGAGAACCCGTGCATGCAGAAGGAGAATATACAAACTCAATGCATTAAGTCCCTAACTTCACCAAAAAATCACAACGAGCATACAGTCACGATACATTAATATTTTTTTATCAACCTGCACACACTTTTAGGCGAAGCAGTCTGTTATTTCCAGGAGCCTTTTTGGTTCTTTACTTCTGCTCGTTCCTCTGCTCCGTATGAAACAAATACTCGATGGGCAAAAAACATTCTCCAGCTCATTGACAAGCTCCCTCACTTCCTGAAGCATTCTGGGGGCTATTTGAGGAA